CAGGGCGTTCCAGCTAGAAACACCACTGGAAGAGCAGCGCCGGTGGCAGGGCGATCCAGCTAGAAGCACCACTGGAAGAGCAGCGCCGGTGGCAGGGCGTTCCAGCTAGAAGCACCACTGGAAGAGCAGCGCCGGTGGCAGGGCGTACCAGCTAGAAACACCACTGGAAGAGCAGCGCCGGTGGCAGGGCGTTCCAGCTAGAAGCACCACTGGAAGAGCAGCGCCGGTGGCAGGGCGTTCCAGCTAGAAACACCACTGGAAGAGCAGCGCCGGTGGCAGGGCGTTCCAGCTAGAAACACCACTGGAAGAGCAGCGCCGGTGGCAGGGCGTTCCAGCTAGAAGCACCACTGGAAGAGCAGCGCCGGTGGCAGGGCGTTCCAGCTAGAAACACCACTGGAAGAGCAGCGCCGGTGGCAGGGCGTTCCAGCTAGAAACACCACTGGAAGAGCAGCGCCGGTGGCAGGGCGATCCAGCTAGAAGCACCACTGGAAGAGCAGCGCCGGTGGCAGGGCGTTCCAGCTAAAAGCACCACTGGAAGAGCAGCGCCGGTGGCAGGGCGTTCCAGCTAGAAACACCACTGGAAGAGCAGCGCCGGTGGCAGGGCGATCCAGCTAGAAGCACCACTGGAAGAGCAGCGCCGGTGGCAGGGCGTTCCAGCTAGAAGCACCACTGGAAGAGCAGCGCCGGTGGCAGGGCGTTCCAGCTAGAAACACCACTGGAAGAGCAGCGCCGGTGGCAGGGCGTTCCAGCTAGAAGCACCACTGGAAGAGCAGCGCCGGTGGCAGGGCGTTCCAGCTAGAAACACCACTGGAAGAGCAGCGCCGGTGGCAGGGCGTTCCAGCTAGAAGCACCACTGGAAGAGCAGCGCCGGTGGCAGGGCGTTCCAGCTAGAAACACCACTGGAAGAGCAGCGCCGGTGGCAGGGCGTTCCAGCTAGAAGCACCACTGGAAGAGCAGCGCCGGTGGCAGGGCGTTCCAGCTAGAAGCACCACTGGAAGAGCAGCGCCGGTGGCAGGGCGTTCCAGCTAGAAACACCACTGGAAGAGCAGCGCCGGTGGCAGGGCGTTCCAGCTAGAAGCACCACTGGAAGAGCAGCGCCGGTGACAGGGCGTTCCAGCTAGAAGCACCACTGGAAGAGCAGCGCCGGTGGCAGGGCGTTCCAGCTAGAAGCACCACTGGAAGAGCAGCGCCGGTGGCAGGGCGTTCCAGCTAGAAGCACCACTGGAAGAGCAGCGCCGGTGGCAGGGCGTTCCAGCTAGAAGCACCACTGGAAGAGCAGCGCACTGCCCCAGCACGGCTGCTGGAGAGAGGCATGGTCAGTCCCATGGACTACTGGTGACGGGATTGCGACCTTGCCGGCCGAAACAATTGTTGCAGCAGGACAGATACAGTGCCATTGACACAATGCCACACGAAGCAGAGCATCTTCTGGCGGAACAGTTCCTGTACAGCATAATAAGGACGATGCAGCTAGGAGAGGGTGGGCTGATGCATGTGGAGGTTGGCCAAACACAGCCCTGACAGCCCGGTTTTGAAGTTTCTGTAGTCGCTCCAGGTGATGTTGGCGGAGTGCACTCGAGAAGCAATTTGAGCCATACGTGATGTCTGACATGATCACAACATGGAGAAACGTAATTCGACATCATCAAGCATGACAAGCATGAGTGCACATCGAGCGCGCCACAGAGTCTTGCACGCAACTTTCTTTGCTATGGCGTTTATCTGGGAGTGCCATGACAAAAACTTGTCGACAATAACTCCCAGATACATGGCCGAGTCTGCTTGAGGAAGGGCAGTTCCATGGCAGTAGACCGGAATGTCAGTGTCCGAAAATTGGGACCGAAATGCAAGAGTAGAGTGTACCTGAGATGTCTGTCGAGACAGTCGAGCTGTAATACACTCCAATATCATCCGCAAACTGGATTGTTGGACACGGGTTGGCTACAGACGAAGCTCCTCTGGTGTATAGACTGAACAGTAATGGCCCTCACACGGGGCCCGTTGGAACACCACATGTGCATATCACTACTCTACTAAGATTGGCTCCAATCTCAACTTGCTGTGTACAGCCACTCAAGTAGCTGCAGAACTATGCTAGGGTCTGTCCAGTCACTGCCACTGTAAGGAGGTCGTTAACAAGTGTTGCATGCTGCACTTTGTCGAATGCTTTCGACATAAATTATCGAGAATGCATACAGCAGACTGTAGGTGGCGGTCTTTGGCATGACGCAGGTTATCAGTTAGTAGTCACAACACATCCTCTGTTGAGTGTCCCTGGCGGAAAGCAAACTGTGACACAAGTAGGGCATTTGTCTTACTCAGGAAGGTGGTGAGCTGCTTCTGCACAACTTTCTCCAATAGTTTCGAAATTTTTGGCAGAATGGAGACTGGGCAGTAGTTAGCTGGCAGGAAGGGGTCTCCACTCTTAAACAAGGGTCGGACATATGCTAACTTGAGCGCTGGGGTGGAACGATACCACTCTGAAGGGAAGCGTTGAAAATCTTGGTGAGAGATGGAGCCAATAGATCAGCGCAATCTCTCAAAAAGGGCTCCTGGAATGATATCACTGCCCGTGGCTTTAGTTTGATCGGCTTGAGACAAAAGACGTTTGACATGGTGAACATCAACGTCAGCAAATGAATGGAACGCGTCTAGTTGAGGTGGACCCTGTCCGGCGCGGAAAGGTCTAGCGGCCTAAGAGTGCATTGCAGTTCGGATGTTACTATGATAATGAGTACTTGACAATGAGGACTTCAGCAATGCTCATGTGTAGGCCCGGGCGGATAATGACTTCAGCAATGCTCATGTGTAGGCCCGGGCGGATAATGACTTCAGCAATGCTCATGTGTAGGCCCGGGCGGATAATGACTTCAGCAATGCTCATGTGTAGGCCCGGGCGGATAATGACTTCAGCAATGCTCATGTGTAGGCCCGGGCGGATAATGACTTCAGCAATGCTCATGTGTAGGCCCGGGCGGATAATGACTTCAGCAATGCTCATGTGTAGGCCCGGGCGGATAATGACTTCAGCAATGCTCATGTGTAGGCCCGGGCGGATAATGACTTCAGCAATGCTCATGTGTAGGCCCGGGCGGATAATGACTTCAGCAATGCTCATGTGTAGGCCCGGGCGGATAATGACTTCAGCAATGCTCATGTGTAGGCCCGGCCCGGGCGGATAATGACTTCAGCAATGCTCATGTGTAGGCCCGGGCTAGGCTCCGGCGGATTATGCTCGCGAAATCATGGAATTGTGCTTTCAAGGATTCTCGCATTATGCTCGTAAAATCTTCATATTATGCTTTGGCACCCGGGGATATTATATTCCCTTTGTTGTACTTATGGAGCCTCAAAGTTCGGAAATTGTGCTTTTTTCGTACTTGCAAGTTGCAAGTGGCCATAAGTACAACAAAATACATGAGTATCCTCATATTTTTGTATTTTTGTATTTATTATCATTATCTCATGGCACATCATGATGACGGCCAGTAAAACTGAGACAAGGGTGAAAGCCAACCACAGCAGTAAAACAGATAAAAGAATACAAATAAGAGGCAAAGAAGGCAAAGGAGGAGACAAACCAGCAGGATATACATGAAACCTATAATCGAGGAGAGATTTTAGCAACAAAATTATCCATCGACGTGCTGGTCTTGGCCTGCGTTGGTAATGTTGCCCAAAATACATATATCAAGGTGTCCATGCATGTTAGAGATCAACATGGAAAAGAGAAAACATTACTTCTTCTATTCATCACTTGATTTCTTTTGTACTTTAGGAAAAATATTATTTCATTGCCAAATTAGTTTGAGTTACCTTTGAAAATTATTATCATGTTCAACTCACGGTCTTCGTAATCATCATACTCGTCCAACCGATGTCACCCTCACCCTGCGAATAATCAGCTCATCTCTCCCGTAGCTCCACTTCTCCTTCCATCATGACCGAACATCAACTATACATCAATTTCGAGCAATATCGATAGCCTGCAGTCATATCATGACTGCTAAAATCCAGAGGTCGTGACTTCGTAACATGCATAATGTACAAATGTAATGTGTACATGTACATGTAAACGGAGTTTTGCGGACTACCCGCCACTATCTCGTCCGCCCCTGGATGCCTGATGAAGGCTGATTCCCTCGCATCTTCTGCTACATGTACTGTGTCAGTGTAAGAAAGAACTTTGAAGAAGACGAGTTCGAGCATACAATACTGCCATGATGTCTGCCCTGCTTTTCATTGAAAACACTATCTGCATGACCTCCGAACCCTTTACCATGCAGGCCACCAGCACTGAAGGTGCATTGTACACAATTGTATAGCCTACATACTAGAACTGTGGTATAGTCGTGTAGTTATGCTCCTACCTCCGAGAGAATGCCAAATTATGCTCCAAATTTCAACCACCAAATTATGCCAATAATTATGCCGGCATAATCCGCCGGTGCCTAGCCCGGGCGGATAATGCTCGAGAATTTGATGGATTCTGCTTTTCAATATGCTCGCATTCTGCTCCAAAATAGCACTGATAATGCTTGAATTCTGCTCCAAAATAGCACTGATAATGCTTGAATTCTGCTTCGGAAAATGGAAATAGTGGTAAATATTACTGATGTTGCAGATTGATAACAGCATACAGCATACAGCATACAGCATACAGCATACAGCATACAGCATACATGTATTTTGCAGCATAAGTCATGTTATACAAAACAGAAAAAATACAAGAAGCACAGAATTATCATTACTCCGCAGGCAAAGGCGCGATAGTAGTCACGAGGGCATTGTGAATTCACACAAAATCCCATATTTGATATTTTGCATTGATATGCTAGTTTTCGCAAGAATATGCTAGTTTTCTGCAAAACTTGCCGCATTATGCTAGCGCAGTGCTAGCTTCCAGAAAGTGCTAAATATGCTAGATATAATGGTAGCATTATCCGCCGGGGCCTACTCATGTGTTGTGATTGTGTATCTTTGTCTGCTCCATATCACAGATGCCAATCCACACTATACTGTCAATGATCATCTACTGCTGTGTACTCATCGGTACACCAGTGATGAGTTGTCCAGACCAATGTTACCGATGCAACTATATTCGGAAGGGTTATATAACAACAGATTGCATGATGCTCGGTCTAAGAACAGTGCCAGCCGGGATACCCACAAATACCCAGAAATTGTAAGTTTGTCATTTTGAACATACCATCCCGGAGTAGCAGGCATGCACAGTGGGATGGTCTAAGACAATTATTCCCGTAGCTATGCAAAAGACGTCACTTCAGTAACGTCTGGCGCTAGCCAGGGTCCACACAGCTTTAATTCCGTGTTTGTTTGTTTGTTTGTTTGTGCCATCGGCATGCCTGGCGCTATCTCGTACCTGTCCTGTACCATACCATCAAGGACAGCATCGGCATGCCTGGCGTTATCCTGTACCTGTCCCGTACCGTACCATCAAAGACAGCTGGCCACAATAGTCAAATATGGCTTTCAAATGCAAGATCATAACGTGAAGCAACTTGGAAGAATGAGTATATAATTATGCGAAGTATATCGGGGGAATGCTTGCAGGGCGATAGTGCGGGTTCGAATCCTAGGTTATGTCTTAAAAAAAAATAGGAGAAATGAAAAATTTATAACGTCCCTATGCTTTTGTTGCCTAGGTCATCCAGGCGGTAGACGGTGTCGTATTACCCTTGAATGCAAAGAGAAAGTTGACTCTCGCTAGGCAAAAAAGCATTGCGTAGGGCCCTGAGCTGTGGTAGGCGAGCCACTTTCTGGACAAAGTCCAGTTCGATGTCCAGGAAGGTGAGGCAGGAGGTCGGGTCGACCGTCCTTCATTGGCGATAGGAACTCCTAGCGGAATACAACAAGAATGGGAGGCTTAAAAGAAGTGTAGCGGAATACACAGAGGATTACGTTCAGACACTGCACACATATCGGTATGCTTGCAGGGCCACAACGCCAGGAATGATGAGAAATCATCGTGAAGGTGGCAGAAGGTGGAGAACCTGTAACAGTTCACAGCTTATCTGGTAAAGCGCATCAGCAATGCAGTACAATTAGGGTGCAGACCTAAGCCCAAATAGCAGTACTTTGCATTCCGAATACCTAGCTTCGCCATCAATGCACCGGTACCATGGCGTTGCAGGAGCTCAATGGCATCGTCTACTGTGATCTAATGCAAGGAGAACAAGTCGTTGTTGATTCTATCATTGACAGACATGCGATCAGGGTAAGACAGGTGATGGACGAGGTGTAATTTCCCGTTGTTCTTGGGCACTACGCCGAGTGAGGACCTGCTGATTTGTCAAGTTCGACGGTCTACAATTCAGTTGTTGCTGTCCAAAAGAAGCACGTGTGAGGTTGCCAGAGATTATGGATAAAGAGGCACCAGAGGTTATGGATAAAGAGGCACCAGAGTGGCTAATGGGAAACCTATGACAGGGGCGTAGCCAGGATAGTGATCAAGGGGTGTGCCACAACTTTCCCCACACACAAGTACATGCACTTATGTTGGTCTTTTCATGCATACGTGATATAGGGGATTGAGTGTGTGTGTGTGTGAGAGGGGGGGGGGGGGCAACATTTGCCCCACATTTCATGCTGAAAATCAATCAGTGAATGGCAAACCTCCACCCAGGGAGTAGCAATATGGTACTTTACTGCTCCCTGCTTCCAACTAATGATGAGCTAAGTACTGGATGCTGCTTTCTCCAGAACTATCAGAGTCTGAGACTCTCCATCGAACTTAAAGTCAGATTTCTCAACCCTTTTTTCTCTTCGTCATGTTTGATACTGAGACAAAGCTTGATCAAACCTACACTATTTCCCACAAAAAAAAACACGACGAATACCGCAAACTACACTTCAACGTTACTTTCACTCTTCTGCTGCTGTATCCACACTTGCAATACATGAAAGAAACTTCATTGCCTTTCCACAACCTCCAACGCGACCAATCAACAGACAGAACTGCATTTTACAAAACTTAGGGTGAGCAAACTGCTACTAGTCAGGGGCGGATCCAGGAGGGGTTCCAGGGGCTCCGCGGAACCCCCTAAATTTAATGTAAGTTACTACTGGCAGCCATATGCGTGCCCATGTACATGTATCAGCTACTGACTAGTGTTCAGTTTTGACTATACTGGAACCCCCCTGCAGAGATCGCTGGATCCGCCGCTGCTAGTACGTCTGCCGTGTGTTTCCATTAACTTCCATAGACCGTGTTGCTACTTCTACCCATGGCGTGTTTGTATGACTCTTTGCTTCTAACAAAACATGTGGAGTGCAATGCAAATCATGTGCTGAGTCCGCTGAGTCCGCTGAGGCCTGACGTGACACAGCACAACGGCAGGTACAAAGCGGAGTTGCCCTTGACTAGAAGTTTCATTGCAAAATGGCCAATCATGAGACAGCGTAACGCAGAAGAAGCGACAAACTCGGCCATTTGAAAATGCTCTTAACCGTCCACCTCTCCACACTGCGCTCTTGGCCCACACTCACAACACCACTTCATAGTGAGGAAGTATAATTATACTCATTCCTTTATCTGCTATTCGTTCGTTATCCGGCTACCTCCATGAGCTCCACGGCGAAACAGTGAAACAGCTGCTGTCTGGAGGATATTAAAGATCTACCCAAGAACAAACTTCCTCGCTATGGAGTGGTGTTGTGAATGTGGGCCTAGAGTGCAGTGTGGAGAGGTGGACAAGAGTGCAGTGTGGAGAGGTGGACAAGAGTGCAGTGTGGAGAGGTGGACAAGAGTACAGTGTGGAGAGGTGGACAAGAGTGTAGTGTGGAGAGGTGGACAAGAGTGCAGTGTGGAGAGGTGGACAAGAGTGTAGTGTGGAGAGGTGGACAAGAGTGTAGTGTGGAGAGGTGGACAAGAGTGCAGTGTGGAGAGGTGGACAAGAGTGCAGTGTGGAGAGGTGGACAAGAGTGCAGTGTGGAGAGGTGGACAAGAGTGCAGTGTGGAGAGGTGGACAAGAGTGCAGTGTGGAGAGGTGGACAAGAGTGCAGTGTGGAGAGGTGGACAAGAGTGTAGTGTGGAGAGGTGGACAAGAGTGCAGTGTGGAGAGGTGGACAAGAGTGTAGTGTGGAGAGGTGGACAAGAGTGCAGTGTGGAGAGGTGGACAAGAGTGTAGTGTGGAGAGGTGGACAAGAGTGTAGTGTGGAGAGGTGGACAAGAGTGCAGTGTGGAGAGGTGGACAAGAGTGCAGTGTGGAGAGGTGGACAAGAGTGTAGTGTGGAGAGGTGGACAAGAGTGTAGTGTGGAGAGGTGGACAAGAGTGCAGTGTGGAGAGGTGGACAAGAGTGCAGTGTGGAGAGGTGGACAAGAGTGTAGTGTGGAGAGGTGGACAAGAGTGTAGTGTGGAGAGGTGGACAAGAGTGTAGTGTGGAGAGGTGGACAAGAGTGTAGTGTGGAGAGGTGGACAAGAGTGCAGTGTGGAGAGGTGGACAAGAGTGTAGTGTGGAGAGGTGGACAAGAGTGCAGTGTGGAGAGGTGGACAAGAGTGCAGTGTGGAGAGGTGGACAAGAGTGTAGTGTGGAGAGGTGGACAAGAGTGCAGTGTGGAGAGGTGGACAAGAGTGTAGTGTGGAGAGGTGGACAAGAGTGCAGTGTGGAGAGGTGGACAAGAGTGTAGTGTGGAGAGGTGGACAAGAGTGCAGTGTGGAGAGGTGGACAAGAGTGTAGTGTGGAGAGGTGGACAAGAGTACAGTGTGGAGAGGTGGACAAGAGTGTAGTGTGGAGAGGTGGACAAGAGTGTAGTGTGGAGAGGTGGACAAGAGTGTAGTGTGGAGAGGTGGACAAGAGTGCAGTGTGGAGAGGTGGACAAGAGTGCAGTGTGGAGAGGTGGACAAGAGTGCAGTGTGGAGAGGTGGACAAGAGTGCAGTGTGGAGAGATGGACAAGAGTGCAGTGTGGAGAGGTGGGCAAGAGTGCAGTGTGGAGAGGTGGACAAGAGTACAGTGTGGAGAGGTGGACAAGAGTGTAGTGTGGAGAGGTGGACAAGAGTACAGTGTGGAGAGGTGGACAAGAGTGTAGTGTGGAGAGGTGGACAAGAGTGTAGTGTGGAGAGGTGGACAAGAGTGTAGTGTGGAGAGGTGGACAAGAGTGTAGTGTGGAGAGGTGGACAAGAGTGCAGTGTGGAGAGGTGGACAAGAGTGTAGTGTGGAGAGGTGGACAAGAGTGTAGTGTGGAGAGGTGGACAAGAGTGTAGTGTGGAGAGGTGGACAAGAGTGCAGTGTGGAGAGGTGGACAAGAGTGTAGTGTGGAGAGGTGGACAAGAGTGCAGTGTGGAGAGGTGGACAAGAGTGCAGTGTGGAGAGGTGGACAAGAGTGCAGTGTGGAGAGGTGGACAAGAGTGCAGTGTGGAGAGGTGGACAAGAGTGCAGTGTGGAGAGGTGGACACGAGTGCAGTGTGGAGAGGTGGACAAGAGTGTAGTGTGGAGAGGTGGACAAGAGTGCAGTGTGGAGAGGTGGACAAGAGTGTAGTGTGGAGAGGTGGACAAGAGTGCAGTGTGGAGAGGTGGACAAGAGTGCAGTGTGGAGAGGTGGACAAGAGTGCAGTGTGGAGAGGTGGACAAGAGTGCAGTGTGGAGAGATGGACAAGAGTGCAGTGTGGAGAGGTGGGCAAGAGTGCAGTGTGGAGAGGTGGACATGAGTACAGTGTGGAGAGGTGGACAAGAGTGCAGTGTGGAGAGGTGGGCAAGAGTGCAGTGTGGAGAGGTGGACAAGAGTGTAGTGTGGAGAGGTGGACAAGAGTGTAGTGTGGAGAGGTGGACAAGAGTGTAGTGTGGAGAGGTGGACAAGAGTGTAGTGTGGAGAGGTGGACAAGAGTGTAGTGTGGAGAGGTGGACAAGAGTGCAGTGTGGAGAGGTGGACAAGAGTGCAGTGTGGAGAGGTGGACAAGAGTGTAGTGTGGAGAGGTGGACAAGAGTACAGTGTGGAGAGGTGGACAAGAGTGTAGTGTGGAGAGGTGGACAAGAGTGTAGTGTGGAGAGGTGGACAAGAGTCTAGTGTGGAGAGGTGGACAAGAGTGTAGTGTGGAGAGGTGGACAAGAGTGTAGTGTGGAGAGGTGGACAAGAGTGTAGTGTGGAGAGGTGGACAAGAGTCTAGTGTGGAGAGGTGGACAAGAGTGTAGTGTGGAGAGGTGGACAAGAGTGTAGTGTGGAGAGGTGGACAAGAGTGTAGTGTGGAGAGGTGGACAAGAGTGCAGTGTGGAGAGGTGGACAAGAGTGTAGTGTGGAGAGGTGGACAAGAGTGCAGTGTGGAGAGGTGGACAAGAGTGCAGTGTGGAGAGGTGGACAAGAGTGCAGTGTGGAGAGGTGGACAAGAGTGCAGTGTGGAGAGGTGGACAAGAGTGTAGTGTGGAGAGGTGGACAAGAGTACAGTGTGGAGAGGTGGACAAGAGTGTAGTGTGGAGAGGTGGACAAGAGTGTAGTGTGGAGAGGTGGACAAGAGTGTAGTGTGGAGAGGTGGACAAGAGTGTAGTGTGGAGAGGTGGACAAGAGTGCAGTGTGGAGAGGTGGACAAGAGTGTAGTGTGGAGAGGTGGACAAGAGTGTAGTGTGGAGAGGTGGACAAGAGTGTAGTGTGGAGAGGTGGACAAGAGTGCAGTGTGGAGAGGTGGACAAGAGTGCAGTGTGGAGAGGTGGACAAGAGTGTAGTGTGGAGAGGTGGACAAGAGTACAGTGTGGAGAGGTGGACAAGAGTGTAGTGTGGAGAGGTGGACAAGAGTGTAGTGTGGAGAGGTGGACAAGAGTGTAGTGTGGAGAGGTGGACAAGAGTGCAGTGTGGAGAGGTGGACAAGAGTGTAGTGTGGAGAGGTGGACAAGAGTGTAGTGTGGAGAGGTGGACAAGAGTGTAGTGTGGAGAGGTGGACAAGAGTGTAGTGTGGAGAGGTGGACAAGAGTGTAGTGTGGAGAGGTGGACAAGAGTGCAGTGTGGAGAGGTGGACAAGAGTGTAGTGTGGAGAGGTGGACAAGAGTGCAGTGTGGAGAGGTGGACAAGAGTGCAGTGTGGAGAGGTGGACAAGAGTGCAGTGTGGAGAGGTGGACAAGAGTGCAGTGTGGAGAGGTGGACAAGAGTGCAGTGTGGAGAGGTGGACAAGAGTGCAGTGTGGAGAGGTGGACAAGAGTGTAGTGTGGAGAGGTGGACAAGAGTGCAGTGTGGAGAGGTGGACAAGAGTGTAGTGTGGAGAGGTGGACAAGAGTGCAGTGTGGAGAGGTGGACAAGAGTGCAGTGTGGAGAGGTGGACAAGAGTGCAGTGTGGAGAGGTGGACAAGAGTGCAGTGTGGAGAGATGGACAAGAGTGCAGTGTGGAGAGGTGGGCAAGAGTGCAGTGTGGAGAGGTGGACATGAGTACAGTGTGGAGAGGTGGACAAGAGTGCAGTGTGGAGAGGTGGGCAAGAGTGCAGTGTGGAGAGGTGGACAAGAGTGTAGTGTGGAGAGGTGGACAAGAGTGTAGTGTGGAGAGGTGGACAAGAGTGCAGTGTGGAGAGGTGGACAAGAGTGCAGTGTGGAGAGGTGGACAAGAGTGCAGTGTGGAGAGGTGGACAAGAGTGCAGTGTGGAGAGATGGACAAGGGTGCAGTGTGGAGAGGTGGGCAAGAGTGCAGTGTGGAGAGGTGGACAAGAGTACAGTGTGGAGAGGTGGACAAGAGTGCAGTGTGGAGAGGTGGGCAAGAGTGCAGTGTGGAGAGGTGGACAAGAGTGTAGTGTGGAGAGGTGGACAAGAGTGTAGTGTGGAGAGGTGGACAAGAGTGCAGTGTGGAGAGGTGGACAAGAGTGTAGTGTGGAGAGGTGGACAAGAGTGTAGTGTGGAGAGGTGGACAAGAGTGCAGTGTGGAGAGGTGGACAAGAGTGCAGTGTGGAGAGGTGGACAAGAGTGCAGTGTGGAGAGGTGGACAAGAGTGCAGTGTGGAGAGGTGGACAAGAGTGTAGTGTGGAGAGGTGGACAAGAGTGTAGTGTGGAGAGGTGGACAAGAGTGTAGTGTGGAGAGGTGGACAAGAGTGCAGTGTGGAGAGGTGGACAAGAGTGTAGTGTGGAGAGGTGGACAAGAGTGTAGTGTGGAGAAGTGGACAAGAGTGCAGTGTGGAGAGGTGGACAAGAGTGCAGTGTGGAGAGGTGGACAAGAGTACAGTGTGGAGAGGTGGACAAGAGTACAGTGTGGAGAGGTGGACAAGAGTGCAGTGTGTAGAGGTGGACAAGAGTGCAGTGTGGAGAGGTGGACAAGAGTGTAGTGTGGAGAGGTGGACAAGAGTGCAGTGTGGAGAGGTGGACAAGAGTGCAGTGTGGAGAGGTGGACAAGAGTACAGTGTGGAGAGGTGGACAAGAGTGCAGTGTGGAGAGGTGGACAAGAGTGTAGTTTGGAGAGGTGGACAAGAGTGCAGTGTGGAGAGGTGGACAAGAGTGCAGTGTGGAGAGGTGGACAAGAGTGCAGTGTGGAGAGGTGGACGGTTAACATGAGACAACATGATCATTGTATTTAACACCTGCATGTGGATTGGATTCAGATACATTGTATTTTTCCGGTTGTAAGTCGACCTTTTACGACTAAAAATAGAAGGAGAAAGGGTGGGGGTCGACTTACAACCGGGATTCGACTTATAACCGGGAACTATCAGTATCTTACAAAAAATGACCTGCCCTGCATGCATGAGTGCACCATGTGTATTCATGTTTGCCAGTTTATTGTCCTTTTTCAAGGATTGGGACGTTATACCCTCCAATTAAAGGAATGTTTACATGATTTGTTGATGTGTTAGTAGCAGGGAGTGGTTGGTAGTGCTTCGTTGGGTGAAAGCTTTAAAATGCAGAATTGAGACCTCCGGATACGCCGGGGGTCGACCTATAACCGGGGTCGACTTACAACCGGTAAAATACGGTATATTGTAGGTCTGAACCAGGGAGTAGTACAATACCTACTACTCCCTGATCTGAACAGAGATTGCTTCACTACCTGCAGTGTGCGATGTGCAGAGTTGCACATGTGATCAGTGGTCCACGTATTATGGTCTCTCCCGAACCAAGATTGACATTTTTGAGGGGGGGGGGGGGTGCTTTGGGTGCCAAAGCACCCCCCCCCCCCCTCCCCTCCCTGCCTATGCCCCTGTATGATACAAGCCATTAAAAATTTCTGTCTCCTCGCCGTCACTTTCTGTATTCATACAACAGCATTACTGTCTGTGTGCTTCATTTTTTAGGTGGTTGCACCACAATCAGATCACAACGTTAAGTAATGGTTCCTTCAGTGGCCTAACAAATCTCCGTAGCCTGTAAGTATTATCAATTATTACATCGAGTACCACCATCCTTAGTGGGACATGATTACGTGTGGAATATTACTAAAAGATATGTAGGCATAGTGGGATGGTCTCTAAGACCATGGTTGAGGAACAGGGGGTACCAGATTAAAGTCCTACTGGGAAGTCAGAGGGTTTCTTCCAGCTGTCCTGCGACCCACCATTCATTGGGAGCTCTTAGCCTGGCACGACGGTAACATGGATGCAGCAAATGGGATTTAAAAAACGTTTGACCACTTCTGGTAGTGGGCCTGATCTACTCACCTACCCACCGAAGATTTAGCATCTGCATCTGCGCCTTGATCCTTGAGGGTGAAGACATTTCTATGGCTGCGGAAATTTCATTCTTTACTCAGGGAATATCATACAAACCGCGACATATTTTTTCACTGAAAGGTTCATAAGTTTGAGTGATTTCATGATCGGAAAAGTCTGAAAAAAATTGACTGTCACCACCAGGACTCTCTCGCTGAAATGATCATGGATATGTATGTAGTTCCTTCATGCCGCCGCATGCATGGACTTGCGATTGGTATCCGATGTCAACCAGTTTTGACCCCATATGTGCAGTTCATGGCTCAAGCGGCAACAGTGTTTGGAAGCCTCAGTAGCATCACATTATTATTATTATTTTAAAACGAAGGTAAGTTATGGGTCGCAAATATCCACGCAAACACACATCCAGTCATAATAAGGCACTTGTCATAAGTATCCGAACGTTTTCGGTCCCTTCTCATCAAGGATTATACAGGGAATGGCTCAAGCTGGAAAGACTAAAACTTATATAGCGTAAAGATAATTAGATAACAACACTCGTGACAAGGTAGAAAAAATTATCAAGTTTAGCACGACACAAAACTCGAAGGAAAATAATAATAGTGACAACAACATAGTGAGCAAATTAAGTTACATTGTTACCACCTCGACGAGGAGTAACACTAAACAATTGTAGCGACAACACATTTTCTTTCTGTACGCAAAGTTCAGGATCTAACTTACGGATATACAAAGCTTCTAACACAGCCAAATGTAACGCACATCTACCACGTGACAATATTGAGAAAACATTATCACTGTACAACTCACGACAATTGGTACGGGCTGACAGATGTTGCTTGATTGACGAAGTGCGATTCTTAGCTCCATTGGGTGTTGTCTCCTCCAATGTCCCGTCATCTCGCCTATTCGTGGCATCACCACTATCTGTCTCTTCGCGTTTCCGCGGCCTTCCACGTTTCTTGACACTAACCGTTGGGTGCGCGATACCCGGTGTCCTTTCCGTTACGTCTCCTCCATTGCGGATTTCTATTGAGCTTCTTACTCCAACTTGTCCGGTGTCCGATATTGAGGTTAGTTTTCGCGGTCTACCACGTTTTCGAATATTGACTGTTGTTGTCACTTCCGTTGTCGTTGTACGTTCGTCCTCATCAGTCCGTATTTTCACTTGGCTTCTCGGCGCTAGTTTATCGTGCACATAGAATATGTTCCCCTCATCTATTGCAGGACGAATTAGACAGACTGACATCAATATTTACGAACAACGGCTATCCAAAGGAATTTCTGGCCAAGCTAATCAACGAAAAACCAGTGACAGACAAGCCTATCCAATTTGGACCTGACCGTTGCCCAGTGGTGCTCCGTTTACCCTGGGTTGGCACCGGTTCTGCGCGCGTGGAGAAGGATGTTCGTGGTATCGTATGTCCATCATATCCGTGCGTCAAGCTGTACGTCATATTTGGGACAGTGCGTGCGTTCAGTGTGAAGAAGGATGTTCTACCTACCCTTAGTAAAAGTAACCTTATCTATTTCTTTCAATGCCGACAATGTGAAGATCGGTATGTAGGTAGAACCCTTCAGCACCTGGACGCACGCATTCGTCAACATGTGCCGTTAAGTTGTGTTCCGTTTGATGCGCGCGATTGTCGTCCTCGCCGTGGTCGTCCTCCAAAATGTGCTGTCCAGTCCATCGGTGGATCTTCCTCTTCCCGTGAAGATGTGACTGCATGCCCGTCCTCCTCTGCGTGTGTAGGACACGGGCCAGCTGAGAACAGCATAAAAGATGGTGAAAGACCCACACGTAAACCACCGAAACTGACAAAGGATCTGTCGGCGTCGGAAAGGGTGACGAGAAGCCAAGTGAAAATACGGACTGATGAGGACGAACGTACAACGACAACGGAAGTGACAACAACAGTCAATATTCGAAAACGTGGTAGACCGCGAAAACTAACCTCAATATCGGACACCGGACAAGTTGGAGTAAGAAGCTCAATAGAAATCCGCAATGGAGGAGACGTAACGGAAAGGACACCGGGTATCGCGCACCCAACGGTTAGTGTCAAGAAACGTGGAAGGCCGCGGAAACGCGAAGAGACAGATAGTGGTGATGCCACGAATAGGCGAGATGACGGGACATTGGAGGAGACAACACCCAATGGAGCTAAGAATCGCACTTCGTCAATCAAGCAACATCTGTCAGCCCGTACCAATTGTCGTGAGTTGTACAGTGATAATGTTTTCTCAATATTGTCACGTGGTAGATGTGCGTTACATTTGGCTGTGTTAGAAGCTTTGTATATCCGTAAGTTAGATCCTGAACTTTGCGTACAGAAAGAAAATGTGTTGTCGCTACAATTGTTTAGTGTTACTCCTCGTCGAGGTGGTAACAATGTAACTTAATTTGCTCACTATGTTGTTGTCACTATTATTATTTTCCTTCGAGTTTTGTGTCGTGCTAAACTTGATAATTTTTTCTACCTTGTCACGAGTGTTGTTATCTAATTATCTTTACGCTATATAAGTTTCAGTCTTTCCAGCTTGAGCCATTCCCTGTATAATCCTTGATGAGAAGGGACCGAAAACGTTCGGATACTTATGACAAGTGCCTTATTATGACTGGATGTGTGTTTGCGTGGATATTTGCGACCCATAACTTACCTTCGTTTTAAAGTATTATCCGCTTCCGACCTCTTTTAAAAATTATTATTATTATTATTAATATGTTGACTTTATTCACTCCACAAAACTTCGGACTGCGAAACCACGATGAGAATGAGCAACACGGATACAAAGAATGCTGGTTCCCAGTAAAGAGAATGAGAGACGGGTGCCCAAGCGGCGCAGCAGACTCGTGACAACGGAGTCATTGCTACCCGAAGATCCACATTTTAAGCGACAAAGACTTAAAAAACAGTGCACAACGGACTAAAACCACCATGAGTACCAAACACTAGAGGGGTGAAGGAATCACGTTCTACTTTCTCCTCACACTCGCGATGCTTAGAATCCTCATGGTGCTTGTAGTAAGAAATTTGGAGCGATATGAAGAGGCATCTGGGCACAAACCCTTACATCCAGAAAAGCCTCCTCCCCATGGCTTCGAAGCCCCCCGAGCGCTCACATCCAATCTAGCCTACTCGCTGACGTTCGAAGCTAGATGTGCGAACGTTGGTTCCGTGCCAACCGCAGAACAGAACAATATCAGCTCCTCCGCCAGGAGATCCAGAACAATATCAGCTCCTCCGCCAGGAGATCCAGAACAATATCAGCTCCTCCGCCAGGAGATCCAGAACAAGATCAGCTCCTCCGCCAGGAGATCCAGAACAATATCAGCTCCTCCGCCAGGAGATCCAGAACAATATCAGCTCCTCCGAGATCAGGAGATCCAGAACTTCAGTATGTCATAGGGTAGGAAGTCCCCACGACTGCAAAAAAGCTGGTGCTCAACCGAAAACTGCTGCCCGCATATGCATAACTTAGGTGTACACTGCAGCGACCAGCCACATTGCAAAGCAATGGCGTCCTGAAAATCCCTCCGTGATAAATTGAAACCATGCCTCTGAATGGGTAAAACAGTCGGCCATGACGAGGCACCATTCTCCGATAACTCGAGAATTCACCTCCTCTCGCCATCTTCCAGCCCGTCAGCAGTCGCCACGTCTCTGCAGCCACAGGTTCACGTCTCTGCAGCACATGAGTCTGGGCCTTCCGCTCCCGGACGGGGTCCACCATCAACGCCACAGAAGACCCTGAAAGAGGAGCGCAGGCAGCATGGATACTCACGTACACTCATGCCCGTGATTTGGAGAGGCGGCAGGTCGAGAGGGTACACGTACTGTCTCCAGGTAGCTACCTACAATACTCTGGATCAGGCTCCGAAATATGCCGAGATTGCCACCGTTGTTGCACAGAAATAGGCACCAAATCCCGGATAGCCATCCTGCCACCTGCCATGCCGAATAGGGAGAGTGAATACACTGAAATCACTGGCAGACAATGCGGGTTGCCCCACAGCAACTGGCACAATACTTTGAGAGAGGTAACTTCCCATAGGAGCAAGGACCTCCGCCTCCAGGTCCATAGCCTGAAGCAAGTATGTCAATTTTTTATGTCCGTTTTCAGCATACGAGTAAGCTGCATGGGGCTCCAATGCTGAAAAGTCTGTTAGAACTTTCAGCTCCTGAATCCACTCATATGTTCGCTGTCTTGCGAAATCATGACAAAACGCCGACCTAGCCAGCCTGCCAGCCTAGCACCAATGTACCACACCCCATAAGTCTTTACAACAATAGCCATGTCTCCAAAGTGCTCGCTGGCAGTCACCTCAAGACCAGGCTTCACAAGCAGCTGAGTCTTACTTTTCAATAATGATGTAACCATAATCCTCACCATGAGTTTCCGCGGAGCGGACCAAACTTCCCCGCCGCCATAGCATTTCTGCCCTAATATTTTGCAAAACCTGGTTGAAATTCTGATCCCCGGTTCGTGTCCTGGTGGTGACACTGAGCCAATGTTCTCTTCAGACTTTCCTTTTACAGTCCCTCAGACTTGCGAGCATTTCTAATTCCTCATCTTCTAGTACTTTTCCAGCCTCAAACGTGGCAAGGAAAATTTGCACGGCTCACAAAAAGCCGGATATGCTGGCTGTTAGTGTTCTAGATCTCTTGCACTCAGCGGCTCTACCAGTGTATGCCAGTGTATGCCAGTGTATGCCAGTGTATGCCAGTGTATGCCAGTGTATGCCAGTGTATGCCAGTGTATGCCAGTGTATGCCAGTGTATGCCAGTGTATGCCAGTGTAATACACAGACAATACACTCCATACACTGTTCTACACTGTTATGCTCCATTCTTTATACATGTAGATGGCTGTACAATAATCAGATCAGAACGTTAAGTCCTGGTGTGTTCACTGGTCTAACAAACCTCCGATGGCTGTAAGTATTATCAACTATTAGAATGGGTGCTGCAAACCCGGCTTTGCGGAACATGATAACGTGTAGAGTACCATTCAAAATGACTGTTATCAAGAGACTGGGGCTATACTCGGGTCGGGGTTCTGTGGTCTTATTCGCTATGGCCCGTGTTGTCCCATGGCAGGTGTGCACTGCTAGCGTTTCAGCGCGAAGACAGTGCACGTGATCAGCGTAGGACTACTTTAAGCATGCGGGTGGCATGGGGATAGTACTATGACACTGGCCAAGGCACTACCGGGCTGCGGGGCAGAGGAGAATACAGGAAAAATGTCTTGTACATAATCTTCTGGTAAGAATTAGTCAGAGCACACCACAGTAGAGTCACTGACTTTAAACTCTCCTTCCCTTTCCTCCCGTCGAATAGCGGCAGTCCATTTCCTTCGCAGTTCAGGATCAGATAGAAATTTTATGGAAAAGATGAATGCCATTTCCTGGAGGGTAACGCCGGTCACCAGTATATCCTAGAATAATTATATCAATGGTCATGGTTGGACGGCATCCGAAAACAAGACAGCGAAAAATCACTCCAGGCGCGATAAAGCAAGCAAAACTGTTGCAGGCTGTCGGATTTACGTCTTTATTTTTTCAGCAATTGCAGTACCTGATCGCGTAAGCGCGCGGCAAGCCTAGAATCCGTGTACTTTGCACATCCCATGCACATCCCATGCACATCCCATGCACTTGACAAGCTCAGCTTGGGCGCACCAATCGCATGCCCTCTCAACTCAACGAGCGCTTTAATATTTGGCATATAATCCATTCATAACAGACGAAAATAATTAATAGGAGTGGCGGGCCAGCAATCTCCTCTCATCTTGCGATCTACCACGGCCTTCGGCCATCACACTCATACGCCCACACTCTTGCCCCTAACAGGCACCGACCCGAGATGTCTTGGCATCTTCGAATGGTAGGCTCACCACTGAATTGGGAGGAAAGCATAAGCATGGTAGTGTATAAAGTGAAGTGTAGCTATGGCGAGGCATGTGTAACTATGGTGATGCATGTGTAACTATGGCGAGGCATGTGTAACTATGGTGATGCATGTGTAACTATGGCGAGGCATGTGTAACTATGGCGAGGCATGTGTAACTATGGCGAGGCATGTGTAACTGGCGAGTGCAAAACTGCAAATTGCAAAATTACTGGAATAGTGTAAGTGCCGTAACAGTTTTTGCACAGGTTAGGTTCACGCTTACGAATGTACACTGCTTCTAGAATGTTCACTGCTTCTAGAATGTACACTGCTTCTAGAATGTACACTGCTTCTAGAATGTTTCGGGGTAAACAAGTTAGTTGTTTACGATAGGATTATATTCTCACTTGGCCATTATAGGCAAATCATAGGAACGCCCACATCTAAAGGATGCTGCATGAAAGTAGGCAGCTGCGAGATGCGTATCTCGCGCATGCTCTTGCATGGCTACGTAATGCATTACATCATAATACAACATCCCCTTCGTCATAAAGGAGTTTAACAACCTACATAACATACCGTACGTACACGACGGCGTGTTCACAATATAGAACATAACATCCAACAATAGCTCTATGTACTAGGTAACAATCATGAATGGCACACGACGGCGTGCTAACAATACAGAGACATAGTATCCAACAATAGCTCTATGTACAATATAACAATGGCACCTCAGGCTCAGCTAATGTGACATCAGCGAACAGGTCCATGTGGCCTCTCTGGCCCGATACATCCAGGATTGTCCTGGGTGCGACTGCGCGGCCAGACCGTGTTCGATACAGCTGGGTGGCAGGTTCAGCAGGCTGGCTGACGTCACACGGTGACGGCGGGTGAGACTGGCTAACATCGCTCCACGGCGACGGCACGTCACTCGGCGGCTGAGGCTCGCCAATGTCGCTGCGCGTCGACGACTGAGGGCCTGCGGGACTGGCATCCGGCGGGAAGTGGACCTGCCTCTCTCTGAGGTGGGTACGGTTTCGCTGCACTTCTCTCCCATGGTCAGGCTGCACCATGTATGACCGTGGTCCGTTGGCAGACTGGGTTACGATACCAGGTTCCCACAGGTGCGTGGTCGGGCTGCGGATGCCGACGTGCTGACCAGGAGCTAGGGGGCGGAGAGACTGCGCTCGCTGGTCATGGTGCACTTTCTGCTGGTCCTGCCGTTCCTCGAGCTTCTGTCGGATGGCCTCGTCCCGAGTGTCGCGCTTGTGTTTGTGAGGCAGGTTGTCCTGTACCTGACGACCGAACAGCATCTTGGCCGGCGACGGTAAGCCCTGGCACACTGGGGTGGCGCGAAATGCACAGCAGTGCTCAGTGCGAGTCGGTCCCGCTCTCCCTTGCCTTCTCGAGAGCTCTCTTAGCGATCTTGACTTGCGATTCGATAAACCCGTTACTCTGCGGGTGATGTGGCGACGACGTACTGTGGCGGAATCCATATTCGGCAGCGAACTCCGCGAACAGATAGCTGCTGTATTGCGGCCTGTTTTCCGACTTCAGCACAGCTGGGATGCCGTGCTCACCGAAAATCTCCTTCAGGTGCTGGATGATGGCCCTGCTGGTTGCTTGTCCGGCAGGCAGCTTCCGGGTGATGAAGTACTTGGAGTAGTAGTCGGTGGCAATGAGGTATTCTGACCCGCCGAGGTAGAACAGGTCCATGCCTAAGGTGTGCCATGCCCATGGCGGAATATCGGGCTGCACCAGCGGTTCCTTGGCTTGACTGCTCTAGTGGCGCTGGCACGTCGTGCAAGATGAGACAGTTGCTTTGATATCCTTGTTGATGTCCTTCCAGAAGACGGACGTTCTGGCTCGCAGCTTGGTCTGCTCTATGCCTTGGTGGCTGGCGTGCAGCTTGCTGAGGATTTCCCCCCTTATTGGTGGGGGAATCAGGACACGACTGCTCTTCAGGATGAGACCGTCCTCGGTGCTCATCTCGTCACGGAAATTCCAGTACGGGAGCAGAATTGCCGGCACCGCGCTTCTCTCTGATGGCCAGCCACTGAAGATCATCAGTGCTGACATCTCGGCGTCTTTAGCCGACTCCTCGCGGATCCTCGTCATCGTCGCATCGCTGAATTGCGGGAACACGGCGTGTACACTGACGTCCAGGTCCTCAATTGGCTCTGTTTCCTCTGACGACAGTCGGGATAGCGCGTCTGCGATCGGAATATCCTTTCCGGGGCGGTACCTGCCATTTTACCTCTTGCACCGGTGGCGCTACTGCGACAATTCTAGGGCCTTTATATAATCCCACAACTCCCGAGAACAGGGACAGATCAATAAAGAACACCTTCTAACCAACAAGAGAATTAGGAGCTTGTGTCTGTGACGAGGGTTGTGCCACGGGGCACTAGGATCTCACGAAAACAAGTTTACTTCTGACACCATGTTTCGGGGTAAACAAGTTAGTTGTTCACGATAGGATTATATTCTCACTTGGCCATTGTAGGCAAATCATAAGAACGCCAACATCTAAAGGATGCTGCATGAAAGTAGGCAGCTGCGAGATGCGTATCTCGCGCATGCTCTTGCATGGCTACGTAATGCATTACATCATAATACAACATAGAACATTCACTAGTCCCGGGTAGTGTACTGTTTGTGTTACTGCACTGTTGTATTGTGTCTAGTACTGACTCGGTCTGTATTGAACTCAAAGCATTGCCTGTGTGCTCCATTTTGCGCAGGTCCTTGTCCAGTAATCAGATCACAACACTAAGTACTGGTTTGTTCACGGGTCTAACAAACCTCCGAACCCTGTAAGTATTATCAACTATTACAATGGGTGTTACCACCCTGTGCTGCACATGATAATGCGTTGAATAGCGCTGAAAGGATCTTGAATTATGTATGCCTTGGCTAAATTACAGACCAGTGGAGAGCACACACGATAATGAACCCTCCATGTCATGGGGGATTCATGGACTAGACTAGCTGTCCAGTACTCGGAAACGTTCTAGGTCCTATTGCGCTACTGTTGCAGTCCTTGCTGACTATTTTGTTGTTGTGGACCCGGGGCAGTTATTCTTTCTCGTCATGTTGGGCTGTTGCTCAGCAAATGACGCTTCGTGGCAGCTGCATTCGAATTTCTCCGTGGGCGAGGATGGTTCCCATGATGTCTCAGTGCTGGTAGCGTAGCAAAAAGGCAGATGGAGGCGCTCCGGCGTGTGTGCTTTCCTGCCACGAGGTTGGATGCGGTTGGTGCATGGCCGTTGGAGAGTTCGAAATTTGAATATTCCCCAAGTGATTTATTCAAGACCACTTGTCGGCGCTTGGGGACATGTTGTAGCACACTATGGTGGTGGCCTACCCCAAGTTTCAGGACGTAACCACGCTGCTACTGACCCTTGAAGATGGCCTTCGTAATGGCCGCCATTGGACAGGTTGAATTGATCAATTTGTTCGAGGGACTCAGTAAGTCGCTAGTCGAAATTTGGATGGCTAAACATTACTAGGTAACTTGGATCGGTGTGTGAACATAGTTAGTTTGGCTGTACTGTGTTATTGTGAGCAGCATTGAGCCCTCATTCTTGTGCCTTGTTTCAGTGTGTATTTTAGTCGATTTTTATATTTTGGCGAATACATCTCCGGACCAAACCTTCATAGTCGGCAAACAAGGTCCACACAGGGACAAAAGGAGCCAACTTACTTTGAGCAAAATCTGAAATTTGGCTATGTCCGGTGATATCTGGTTGTTACGGACACTGACTCTTCAAAATTGTGTCTCCTCGTTGACTTTTCATTATTGTGTGTGTGTCTTTCATTTGTTTTAGATCGTTGTTTGATAATCAGATCACAACGCTCAGTACTGGTTTGTTCACGGATCTAACAAACCTCCGAACCCTGTAAGTATAACAGATAAACTAGGATCAGTCGGGATAGTGAACTGGGAAGCATTTTTTTAAACAAGACATGCCGGTCAGACTTTCTCTAACGCCCGTGTTGGCTGAGCTGACGTGCTACTTCTGGACCAGATAGCAAGGATGGCCTTGGGTTAGCTACCCTTACAACAAAAAGGCATTTTGCTACCTGGTTCAGAAGCCACAGGCCCGAATGTCAGCACAAGCATCATCAGCAGAGTTGCGAGATACTGCCTCATTTAGTTTTACGCTTGTGTTATGGTGCAATTTACCATGATGTTCTGCAAGGAGCTATTGGGACCAGTATGGGACTGCATTCACAGGCCCAGTATGGGACTGCATTCACAGGCCCAGTATGGGACTGCATTCACAGGTTTACAGGTTTTATTTGCAGATTTACACATTAAATAATTTTTGCTGCAGCTAGAGTGTTTCGCTATACTTTCAGATAAGTGGCCATGCTATGGGAGACAGTGGGGATGATGTAACAGTGAGGGTGTTCTATTATGCACGAGAATAGATTCACGGATCGATTCATGGATCGATTCGCGCTATTCACATCACCCCATGTGAATAGAGTGGATGGATTTAGAGTCGATTCCAGGGCTCATGACATGAAAATCGAACGACTTGAATGCACTTGAATCGATTCATGAATCGATTCAAGTGTGTAATAGAACACTCTCACTGTGACTGCGAGTGCTGCATCACAGCTGTTACGCGTCAGCTTACCGTTAGGCTATGGCCTGTCAGTGCAATGACAATGTGCACATCTATAAAATAACGTCTTGTTCTCAGAAGAATGTCGAATCCAACAACACCGTTCTTCTGTGCGTGCTGAACGGTTACACAGGCAGCTGTGCATGCCGGTAACACCACCACCGAGTCGTTTGGCGTCAGCAATGGCCCCCGTCAAGGCTGTGTGATAACCCCAGTACTATTCAATCTGTACTTCGGTGTTGTACTTGAGCAGTGGGCACAAGTGAAGCAGGCTAGCGACCACCCACCTGGCATCCCTTTCCTATATGGCATCAACAGCAACCTGTTCACTAAAGAGTGGCGCATGAGCACGTAAAGGGGGTGCTCGCAAAGGCGCATTGACAGCTACTATGCTTTAGAGACAAGAAAGAGTTAGGGTGCTAGTTTTGGATGAATGCGCTGTAGAGGTCTTCCGCTGTTGTGTGGAGTATTCTTTGGAGTATCCTGGCTTTCTTGACCTAACTGGATTACTGTATGTGTTCTTCATTCTTTATAGATATTTGAACAATAATCAGATTGCCACCTTAGGTACTAGTTGGTTTTCTGGGCCAAGAAACCTCCGACTTTTGTAAGTGTTATCAACAATTACCGTGAGAGACCACACGACTTAGTGGAATATGATGACGCGTGGAGTATCCCTGAAAGGATATTGAGTTTATGCAGTGAGTTTATGTGTGGTGCAAATCCAAAAGGTGCGAATGACAGCATGCAGTGGTGAAAGGTACCACTTCGAGTGACAAACACTGGAGCTGGTGCTGGTGCTGTCATTCGCACCTTCTAGATTTGCGCCATGATGCAGTCAATTTCCCCTTTGCACTGCTGTCATGCGCACCTTTTAGATTTGCGCCATCACGCGGCTGCAGCTATTTACACTTTGCAAGTTTGTGGGTATATAAACCAGTACTGGTCCAGATTCACTCATTGCTCTTTTCTGATGATCACTTAGTGCGTGAAACTCGGAGTTAAACACTTGTCCGTCCGTCCGACCCCCCCTCTTATTGTTTGAACTAGCTCTGCCCTGTCTCTGTATTGAGCACTCTCTTGGACAGCCTGGAACCTCTCTGTCTTATGCTTTGTTTTACGTAGATCATCATGCATGCTATTTGAAATGATAGAAACGTCTTTTGGTCCATTGTGGTCAGATTTCAGTGTGAATTCACCCTTCAAGTTGTGTTTCGAAGACCAAATCCTCGCAAATCACACCACTGTGTGTGCCTTTGTCTGCTTATGAATTCTCAAATCCTTTCTAGATGGCTGCAGGGTAACCCTCTTCTTCTGACACCAAGTCTTTATACCAATTTACGTGGCCTCGGTACCTTTTCCACTGGTTACTGCACTTCATGCAATCGTGTTGACCAACCTGTAAAGGATTATCTTGAAAAAGGTACGGTTCGAAATTTACAAATCAACTTGATTAACGGCCATCGGAATGTGTTCAAGGACCAAGTTTTACGAATTGTCACTACCAGTCCACCAAGGTAACAAGATAATATGCATTCAAATCATGCGGCAACAAGGCACGAAACTAACAGGCGTACAGAGACATTCAACGACCTAACACATAACTCCTATACATCTGCAAAGCGGAAACCAGCAACCTTCCAACTTGGATGGCTCATGTACGGAATGGTCCACTGCAGGGGAGGGATAAGCAACAATTAGGTGTTAGGTCATGGAATGTCTCAGTAAACATGTCAGTTTTTTGTGCCTTTAGCGGCTGTTGCCCGATTTGACTATATATTATCTATTAGTGTTGAAACGAGCCTATCTGTTCCGCGCATTCTGGGAATTTGCGCAATCTGAGAATCCCAGATTGCGCTGCGCAATCTGCAGATTGCTTGCACATTTTTGGGTGACACGACCATATTTGGGGCATGAGACCAAGCACAGCAAATCCGCATCCCTAAGCGCTGGACCTACCGTGAGACGGATTTCGTTCAAAATCATGAAGAGCATGGGTCACTAGGAGATAGGTCAGGTGTCTCCTCCTCCGTTGGGTTTGTCGCTCCCTTCGCTCATGGAGAGGTGAGGGACATAGAGAATCTAATTCAATGCAGTCACACGATCAGACTTGCTTGTACATGTAGAACTAATACAAAAGAATTCCATCTGTGCAATATGCAGATTGCTTGCACATTCTGGGAAATCTCAGATTGCGCAGAACATATCTATAACAAACGGGCAAACAGTTCCACTAACGAGCGATCTATTGAGCGAGTTAACGAGTTTTACTCATATGGCAAAGATGATTTTTTTTAAATTCAGCTGCTTCGATTTTTCACAGCTGGTGCTGGAGTTGCTCCTGCTTTCGAATGGCTTCACTTCGGATGGGTGTTTGGTATTGAGATATCTTTTCTGCGCCTTTGTTGAGGAGCAGTTATTGTAAGAATAGACTGTTCTGCAGAGATTTCAAGTACTGAAGTAGCCTCGTTCTTCGCTGCATTTCAGGAAAAACATCCAAACAACTATGCTTGACTTTCTGCTCGAACGTACAGTTCACTGCATGTACTGACTGCACTGCATTGTGCACACCGGACCGTACATGATGCACGTCAGTACAAACGAGCTTGCCGCACAAATGAGTACCCGGTGAGATTCTTTCACACTACTAGTATCTATAATACGTGTAGGATATTGACTGAGATGAGTCGAGGTCAATATTCCATTTATCACGATTGCTTTGCCAAAACCCCGAAATTTGATGCTTTAGGAGCTATTGGAGCATTTTTAGTTTAGAATTTGTGGAATTTGGACTATGTAGTTTGCACCACTAGCGCTTTTTAGGTGCCTTTTTGTCACTTCTCTGACCGCCAAAGTGGCGGATATAAGGACTTGCTTGCTGCGGCCTCAATCACCACTGTACTCGACTTGAAAAGTAATGGAATTTATGCTTTTTATTTTACAGATATCACACCAATCTTGGAAACACTGGCTAATGTAAGTGGTGAAGCCTACGTGTCTGAAAACTTCTAGAACAAGCATTTAGGAGAATGTGGTGTATAGTAGACCTGCTCTTTCCCATCCACTCTGCTATGATCAGACTCACTTTCATAAATGGTCAATTATTACTACCGAAACAGGTCGAACGAAGTATGTATCTAATATTCACTGAGTACGAGGTCAATATAGGAAATAAAAGCCGAGTAAAAGACCGAGGCGAAGCCGAGGTCTTTTATGAGGTCTTTTATTTCCTATACTGACCAAGTACGAAGTCAATATTAGATTTATCACGACTGACCAAAGCATGTGTTCAATCGCTAAAAAGGAGTCAAATATAAGCGGTCAATATAGCCCTAAGGAGTGAAATATGCAGGAATATTTGACTACGTGGGTATGGCAAACATCTATGTGAGTCAATACTAAGGGAGTGATAAAATTATATATTAGAGAAAAGACCGAAGGATGTACCCAGAGTGCTGACAGTGCTCAACACCACAAAGGCAGAGCGTAATACACAACAGAACAACAAGGCCTTGTTGTTCTGTTGTGTATTAGAGAAAAGAAAAAGGACCAAGGAACTTATTTCCTAATACTTTGAAATTCTCCGTGAAGTCCAAATTTGAAATTGCAATTTTGGCTATACTTTGATTGTTTTGGTTATTCCTAATTCAGTGACGACTTTCCACTGATGAGTGTGATGCGAAAACGTTTTGTAAATTAGTACAATTGTCTTTGACATTGTTATGACTGCACAATTTGTTTTATTCAATGCCATATTATATGATGCTGAGAAGAAGGACACACTTCAGGCTCTTGAACTAGAAAGTTTTTACTAGTATATTTTCATGCCTTATAATCAGGTGAAATACAGGTAAAATCAAATAAACACGGACAGCTCTGGGCACGGACAACACAAGTCGCGACCATACATCGAAAACTACAAGCTCGCTTGAGGACCGTATTCACAAACAACAACATATACTGAAAACTCTCAACAACAACAGGCGGTGAGGTGACGAATGTTTAAGGACGGCAATAAACAGAACCAGCTGAAGCGCCATGTCACTAAGGTTCTATTGAGATGGCACGAATAAATTCTAGAGAAAGTAGTGATGGACAAAGAAACAACTATGATGGAAATGTAATGTGAAGAACAATAATACTAATAGGAACGATGAAAAATATAAAAATACATCAAACTAGCGTGACATCTCAACAAAACCTTCGTGACACGACGCTTCAGCTGGTTCTGTTTATTTCCGTCCTTAAAATCTCAACAAGAAACTAAACAAAAAGAGCCATGAGGTCCGCTCGGCGCCTCGCGCACCAAGATCATCTACGAAAATGGAGGCATCGCATTTTGCTCTCAGGGACCGAAACAGTGACTATTCCAGCAATGCGGTTCTTTGTATGGGAGTAGACGGGGAAAACAATTTCTTTCTTGTTTCTCTGCAACAATGAATCTCGTACTAGATTTTTTTCCAGTCGGGATACCGACAGGGCGCTATATGTCCCATACCGAAGTTTGACAAAGATTCGACTTCTTTGGGACAATGGAGAGCCAAGATACTGCAATGTTTCCATCTACTCCCATACGAAGTCACCCTCGCGCTGGTTCCATCCCTTATCTCCTAAGCTAAAATAATCAGCTGAACAGGTCAAAAACAGGGTGAAGATGAAGAGATGACTAAAACATGAAAACATTAATGAGGAGTAGTATTCCTGACACCTTCGCGAGGATTAGCGCCAAACAACTAAAGTGACTAAACATTTTTGGAAGCATGGAAGACCCCCACGAAAGCCAGTGATCAAGACGATGGAAGAGTCAGACACCGAACGAGTGACCGGACGGTGTGGTGGAAGGGACGAGTCAGGACCTGCAACATCGGAGGTGACGACAAGCCGACTGCTCAGTGGAAAGGATGAGTCAAGAGCTGCGACATTGGAGGCGAGGAAAAAGATGCGACATTCAAACAATCAGCAATCGGCTATCAAGAGTCATCTGTTGGTTAGTGATACATGTAGTCGTCGTGAGATGTACAGAGTTGATGTTTTCTCAGTTTTCGCCTGTGGCAGATCTGTATTGGAGGCGTTGTATATTCGCAAGTTGTTCCCTGAACTATGTGTTCAGAAGGAAAATGCCTGCATTTCACCTGGTGAGAAGGCTTGAAAGTGTACTCATGAAAACTCTCGAGATGTTCAAGAGCCTGAAGTGTGTTGTTCTCCTTAGTTTAATCCCTAACTTGCCGCGCTAAATCAAAACGGAATTGCTTTTATATTGGATGACTTTATATGTGGTGTGCCTGCATAAAGGAGACATTACAAGGCGACATCTTGAGAACTGATGCCGCATCTGAATCTCTAAAAGACTTAACAAACAGTCAGAATCTGGCTCAGGACGATGTCAAATTTGCCTCTAAAGCCATAGCAAATATAGCTGAGTCTGTGTCAACGAACATACATCGTGAGGACCTTACCGGACAGGTGAGTGGCAAGGGTTTCTTTGATATAATTATCTCTTGAATCAATATTCGCACACACTGGCAATAAATTGGTGCTAATCTTCCAAGTTGTGAAATAGGTAAAATATCAGTTGGCCAAGAAAATGTTTTTAAAATTGAAACGTGAAAAACAGCGGAGTACAAGTTATCAGAGTCAACCAACTAGTGCCTACTAACCATGATCATGCCCCCTGTGTGGTTCCCCTAGCTAGCATGACTGATAGACAGTCAGCCCACATTGGCCGCATTCTGTTATCAGCATAACCTCAATCACAGAGAACAAATGACTACAGTGTGCCTTTCAGGAGGCCAATATACGGTATCCAGGGGGTGCGGGTCTGATTCCAGCAAGGGGAAATGTGGTGCCCCACAGCACAAAGGTAACTTGATACTCAACACAAATGTACGCGCTGTATTGCATACTTATCATGATACTCAACCGTCACATCGTCGTTGCCTACAATACAGTAGCAACGCATTATTCTAGTTTTCCGAGGGGCCCAAATTGCAAGCTCGGTTGCCCTGCACATGACTGCACATTGTCATAGCAACCTTGAAAGTTCAAGCTGGTTTCCACAGGCTTGGAATCAGACCAAGCTCCCAAATGCCCCTGCCGGCCACTGGCACTTTGTTGCAAAAAGATTATGTGCAAGAATTATGAGAAAGGCCTATAAGAAGTAAATGATGTCATTCTAACTTGGATACTGAGCCAGCAAATATAATTAAAATAGAAGAAATCACAGGGAAACGAACCTTCAAGTTGGAAGGCTGTTGGTTTGCTCACTGGAGATGTGTTGGAGCTAGTTCTCAGGTCATTGAATGTCTCAGTAGCCCGTCAGTTTTATGCCCTGTTATCGCACTTTCTGACTGCATTATTATCTTGTTTTAGTCGTGGATAGTTGCTTCATAACTCGTTTTCATGTGATTTCTTCTATTTTAATTCATTCTAACTCCGAGTTTCACGCACGAGGCAATCATCCAACGACAAGAAAGACAAGAACGAGAAAGACGTACATTCAGGCGTTAGAGAATGGACGCTGCACAGCCAGCCTGGGAGTGACGCATTCAGCGTAAGCTCTGCTCTGGGAAGATACGTGACAAGCAATGGTGGTCATTAATGAAGTCAATTGCTGGTGTTAGCCTGTCCTCTGATACTCCAACTTTATTGATGGAGATGGACAAGAGAACACAACAAACCTTGCCAAGGAGAACTGTCTCGGCGCCTTCTTCTCAAAGAAATGCAGCCTTGCCAACGACATCCCATTAGCTAGCCTGCCTATTGGTCAGGAGCCTGGCAAAGCTCCAGCTGTGATAAGGATTCGCTTTTGCCCTGAGACCTTAAAGCCCTACCTCTCAAAGCTTGACATCTGCAAAGCCACCGGCCCTGATGCCCTGATGCCCTGATGCCCTGATGCCCTGATGATATTCCTGCTCAGGTTTTGAAAGAATGTGCAAGTGAGCTGGCTGGGGCTCTTGCTTGGCTCTTCTCCCTGTCCTTCTACAGTGGTCGCCAACCACAGGCATGGAAGGTTGCTCGTGTGGTACAGGTCTACAAGAAGGCTTCGCAATCCAGAAACAAGAACTATCGAACAGTCTTACTGCTGTCCATCCGCTCAAAGGGTATCAAATCCAGTGCCAATCGCCAACTGATGAACTTCTTGGAGGGCGATAGTCTCCTGTTACCAAGGCAATTCGGATTCCGACGTGGTCTAGGCCCCTCTGATCTGCTCACAGCTCTCCGCCATCACTGGTCAGTCACTTCGGGCCTTGGGGGATGTGTGGAGGTGATTGCTGTAGACATAGCTGGGCCTTTGATAAGATCTCACACACCGGCGTGATACACAAGTTGTGCAGCATTGGCATCCAGGGTCCTCTTCTAACCTGGCTTAATGACTACCTCACAGACTGCGCATTGCAAGTGGCCATCTGTGTCCAGACCTCCAATCGGTTTCCCATCTCTGCTGCAGGGGTACCACAAGGCAGTACACTCGGGCCATCACTGTTCCTTGTGTACGTCAATGATGCTGACGGTTGCCTGGCACCAGGAACTGCCATGGGAACATTTGCAGACGACACCAAGGGGATAAGTGTAGGATGGCCAGTGCATGTCCTCCATGGTCATTATGTGCATGCTGAACCTAGGTCGAAATGTTTAGGGGGTGCACGTGCCCCCCCCCCCCATGCCCCATGCAAGCTGGGTAGCAAGAATGAAAACGAAGCCAGAATGGGGGTAGAGAATCAGCAAGAATATGCTTACGCGACTCAAGTTCACACTACACTACCATAAGAAAGTATGGTGGAGTGGAAGTATAAATTCTGGCTTCGTTTTCGTTCTTGCTCATTCCCATGTAACCACTAATGAAAATGGGTGAAAAGCTTCTGGTATTTTGAAATTGACAACTTTGTTGTTGGACTCGGATGGAGAGCCAATGGTTAAATTTAAAAGGAAGGACCAGAATGTGTTGTTGTGTAGTATATAAATTTTGTTCGCCTACCTCTCTCTCTGATATAATATACATACTGCTCCTGTGTGGCTTCCACTGTATTCATTGTTCCTTTTACCTAATGATGGCCAAGTAACGAAAAGTTGTGAACTGCCGGAACCTGTTCGGATGTGCAGCACTATGGGAATGGTTGTGTCCACCCGAATTCCTTATTTTTATAAGAGATGAAGTCGCATAAAGCCTCAGCTCTTCTTTAGACTTATTCATAGCTGTAATAATACTATAAAATAATACGTTAATGTGGATATGTTCTGTGCCTGTCTGTCGTAGATTACAAACCGTACTTTTCAGGCAGTGGACAACATTTTGAACTTAACAACGGTGGAGAATGTAACATCATTGAGTTCAGGAGAAAGGTAATGTTAGGTTCTCATCTCCCGTACATTTCCTCGCACATCCTTTACCCAGCTGGCCTGCACCCCGTAGCTTCTCGCATACTGATCGACAGTATCCAAACAGTGACTACCAACACCTTGAGCCTTTTTGCGGATGACTCCAACATTCTGTGCATTTCCCCACCGACTACCACAATTACGGCTCACTTGTCGCAGATGGAAACTGATTTAGCAGCGTGTATCTCTTGGCCTGAACATTCCGGATCAAATTTTAATGTAAGTAAGTGCGCCCATATTTTATTCCAGTCAGGCAGGACCACGGCAGCAGAGCGAACTGTTCAGATGAATGAAGCTAACATGTGTTGACCTGAGGCTTATCGCCATCTTGGGGTCATACTAACTCCCTCTCTAGATTTCCGTGCGCATATCCTATCCATTATCTCTAAGTTTCGTAGCAGAATGTTCTTGCTTAGTCATATGACTTCTTTTTCTTCCATCGGTCATTTCTACCTTGTATAAGTCATACGTTTGCCCTACCCTAGAGTACTCTATCCCCATCTGGTTTTCCGGGCCTCTCTGCCGGTCGCAGACCAGGATAGTATGAGTAGGCTACAAGCAACTGAAGCCAGAAGATATCTTGCTGGCAAATTTGGGAGGAAGCCAGATTGGATGACTCCAAAAGAAAATCTTAACCAGCATGCAGGCTGGGAAGCTATTCAATGGTGAATACAGATCCTTTCATTATGCTATTTGCACCACGTTGTCTACACCTTTCTTTCTGTTCTCTTTGATTTCAAACTTCGATTTTCATCCTCCTCCCGACACTCCAAGTCTCTTCTCCAAGTCTCTTCTTCTCCCACCAACTGGCAGTTCCTTCGCTAAATCCTTCTTTTCCTTATCGCTGTTGCTTGGAATAAACAGTACTTCCTGCTGATATATGTTCGCTCGACAGTCCCACGCTATTTAATCGCCAGATAAGGAAGCTTTATGAAGTTTACCGCTTCTCAGTTTCCGGCATACCTAGTTTCACGTGTTGAACAATATAGTCGACATCTGCCACTGCACTTTTGTTTTAGTGCCTTTCCAGTATTCTATTAGCATGCCTGGTTCTCAATCTATTGATATTCTTCCTCTCCAATACACCACACCACCACATTGCGCTCTTGGCCGATCCAAACGCTGCACTCACGCACCACCTCCTCTCCTTTGACTTAAAATCTCGGATTTTGAGTTTTATCCACTCCCTACATAATTCAATTTTCATTTTTCTGTTGGTTTGGTGAGACTGCCATGCATGATAGGTATCCATTTACTACTACTGTGACCTCTGGAGAATCCGTAAATAAACAATACAAATACAACTCACAAGCTTACCGACGGTTAGTCTGCCTACATGACGGGACAAATGACCCCTGGCAGCACCAGACATCAGAAGGCGGAAGCCATGTCACCTTTGCTGCAACGTCCATCATCAACAAATCCCACCTTCGTCTCCAAAGTCTTTAAAAACTCCAAATCCAAAGGAGCATGTCAGTCTCACACTTTCTCAGTCCGTATCATTTTTCGTTGCAGCAGTTTCAGGGCTGATCTGCTACTACTCCCACTGGGTCTGGCTCCGAAACTCTGCTGGAACAAGCGATGTTGAGTTTTTAAACCACCCCCTCATAACAAAAATTGAGATTTCAATGGCGGAAGATACTACGAAGGAAAAGTCACAATGTATGGCTGTCGGCGCGATTGTTCAACCTACAGCATTTAAAATTGGCATGATGCTTCTGAGACAGATGCTAGGCATGGCACCAATTGGGTTGATGACATAGCTGACACACAAAGTCACACACAACATATTCGTGTGCACAGACACTGAATTAGTGGACATCGACATCTTCTTCTCGCTTGTCTCAAACGTACTATGACATGCTATTTCGCATAAGCAAGCTTGTTCGCTCACCATTTCTCTTTGAACTGGAAATTGCAGTCAAAATTACCCCTAGAAAGTTAAACTGTTACCTATTTTTTCGATGCCTAGCAAATAAGTCACCGCCGATTGTTGTGTAAATCGCACACCACAAACTACCGCTGCTTGCCCTTGTTGTTCTGTGTTTTGTAAATCACATAAAATGTTTGGATAGGTTTCAGGGGTTGAAGGAGTACTTACAAACTGTAATTGTTCTTTTTGTCTTTGTGGTGCAGAATGACTAGAGCAATGGATATGCTAGTTGTTTCGCTACGTGTTGGACCACATCAGATTCTACAGGAGACGAAAAGCAGTTTGGGATATGCAGTGACATGTCCTGCAGGAAATGTGGAGAGCAAATACGAAAGTTTCCGGTCAAGATACGAGACCCAAAGTGGCTTTTTTTTAGGCGGAACAAATCAAACTGCTGAAGGTTAGAGTTTATGCTGGATATGTGGGCTTTGTAAGGACTTCTGTGAGCCATCCATACTGACACTATTGAATGTCTCCATGCACAATACATGTATGTCCGGAAATACTCCTTGCCCAGCAGGGACTAGTAATACTTCAATCTTCTTTGTTCTTTCAATTTTGGGTGAAGATTGTCTATGCAAATATTTTGACAAAGTTTCTGAAAGAAGAATAGGTTGGTGCGACTTCTGTGATACTTGGGGAGTTCTGTGTTGTTCATGGGAGCTCGTGCTATACCTGCCGACTTGAATTCTCACTTGACTGACTCACGACTGCCATCCTAGCACATGAGAAGTCCATCCAACCGTCCACTCGGCAAACCTGCAAGAAAGCACCATTCCCTGCTCAATACGCAGTGTTTCGGGGAATTCACCCCTCATCAGTTGAGCTTGAGTAGGTTGAGGAAGATTGTACCTGAAGAGCACCACTTATATAGTGCTCTCCAGGCACAAACATCACCAGGGAGATAAACTTACAGAGACGCTCCGTTTCCAGCGCGACAAACACCTCGTGAACACCAGATGGCAGCGTGAGTCAGTGTTGCTCTTGGAGGTGCTGAACAAGCGCTGAGGATCGTTGGCCATTCACAACGTTGTTGCTTCCAAACCATCTTCTCGTGTGCTCAGGATGGCAGTCGTGAGTCAAGCAAGTGAGAATTCAAGTCGGCAGGAATAGCGCGAGCTCCCATGTAGGGAGCAACACACACTTCCCAAGTATCGCCAAAGTCGCACCAACCTCTTCTTCACATTGTTGTCCCCAGCGCGGGCTTGCGAATTAGGCCAACCATGGTCAGTTTCTGTAACTTACTACCAGAAGTGAAAGAAAGTGATTCATTTTGAAAGGATTAGGAGAACTTGTGTGTTGCTCCCTACGTGGGAGCGTGCACTATTCCTGCCGACTTGAATTCTCACTTGACTGACTCACGACTGCAATCCAGAGCACACGAGAAATCAAGTCAGCAGGTATTTGTACTTGTAAGTCGGCAGGAATAGCGCAAGCTCCCACGTAGGGATTCGCCACTTATCGCCAAAGTCCCACCAACCTCTTCTTCACATTAGGAGAACTTCACGTTTCAAAGGATTAGTCCACGAAGCAAACTTCTTGAAAGAGAAAAAATGCCAAACCCACCAGGACCCAGGCTCGAGACCTTGCTTGTCATGAGCAATGCTCTAACCTGACCATCTGACTCATTTCAATTTAATTCAATTTTACCGTTCCCCGCGGCCTCGGAGGCATACCAAGTTTCATTGGCATGTCCCGATAGAGCCAACTGAGTAATAGATTTTTTATATATATTTTTTAATATTCTTGGTGCTGAGTTACATGGAATCTCAGATGCTCCCTCCGTAACATGTTTCCAATAGAACTCAGATATTACCCCTGACTGATTGGGTGAGTGAGCCTACTACAACTGAGTCATAGATAGTGACTTCAGCAGTTCAGCAGTTACTGTGCATAGCAATAGATAGTGACTTCAGCAGTTACTGTGCATAGCCTGTTAACCTGTGATGTCCGCGCCATATTTTGTATTACATTTAGGAACAACGTCTGGTGTGGCAGTTGACATTGACCGAAGTGCTCTTGATAAGGTAGATGGAGTAGCAAATTCAAGTTGTGGAGTCGCTCCAATCCGATACATCCTGTACAAGACTGATGCTTTGTTTGGGAAAGACTTCAAAGGAGAGACCATTGGAAGCATCGAATCTGAGGTCATATCTATCCAAGTCGGCCATGGACCTGAGAAGACACAACCAGTGCCAGTTTCAATATCATTTGACACTCCGCCACGTGAAAAACAGGTAAACTGAGCACAATGTTGAACTTTGACCCTGTGGTTCTTGGCAATGTTATTGAATTATGTAGCTGTTGGGGAAATGAAAAGTGTGAAAGCTGCAAACATTACGACAAAACATGAAAACCTTTTTGTTGAGAACTCAGATGGTGAGCCAAGGAAAAAATTGTAACATGGGAAATTTTGGGCACAAGTTATGCAATCGAGTCCATAAAACTAAACCAGATTTTGAACAATTGGACGTGCACAATCTAGCACAAAACTGACAAGGAGTACTGAGACATTCCACGGCATGAAAGTCGGCTTGAACACTGCTCGATAGCGCTAACCAATGGCCTTCCAACTTGGAAGGTTCATGGATATTAGTGTTAATTCCAAAGAGGGGAAGGCAAGCGCCATCGAGCCGAGCACAAGCTACATTCCAAGGCTTCATGGAATACTGGCCTGGTATGATGACGGGACGGCAAGACCAGACAAAACGGTCAAACCACAATTCGACAACGCAACGCAACAACCACCCACCTTGGCAGGCTCAATATTATCCCCTTGGTTAGCGTTATCGAGCAGTGCATGCCTGACTGTTCAAAATCTGGTTTAGTTTATGGACTCGATCGCATAACTTGTGCCCACAATTTCCCATGTTACAACTTGTTTGTTACCTCGGTGTACTCACTTCCAGTAACACTTTGTTGGAGCAAATCTCGAGTGAAAATGTGTAACTATTTTGAAAGATCATTATTTAACGGGAAAAATAAATTCACGATGTTTAGAAGAGTAGGCAGAAGCTTCCTGTGATGGTTCTCAACTTCACCTATTAATTAAGCGTACATTTCAAACCCCTCTGTCATGCAGACAGTCATCACACCTTTCTTCCAACTTGCTCTCTCGGTTCTTCTCACATTATACTTGGTACTCTTCGCACCTTATCAATCACAGGTGTTCTTTCTATCTATATGCCACCTTGTGCTATAAACACGGCTCTTCTCAGTTGAGAGGCCGCTCAGGGTGTGCTCAGGGTGTGCTCAGGGTATGCTCAGGGTGTGCTCAGGGTATGCTCAGGGTGTGCTCAGGGTGTGCTCAGGGTGTGCTCAGGGTGTGTTATTTCCTAGCTACTAATGCAATGTATTACACTGCCGCCCCGTGTGTAGGATTCCTCTCTTATTGGGCAAACGGGAAGTTGCTTGAATTTTGCTTTGTTTGACAAGTCAGTAAGAGTTAAAATGCCACAATAGCCTGCAACGCACCGCTCTACCCGAGCTAGCTACTCTGTATGTAACTCAGGCTGTGCACATTGTTGTGACTGCGGCCTCCGTCCGTAAACACTTTCATCATGTTCCTGTTGCACATTACTTATATGCTACACCTTACACTCCCAACCCCACCGGTATACTGACACAGCCTCTGTTGCACCCCCCCCCCTCCCCTCTCCTAGCACCTTCCCTGTGAGTTTCACAATTGTAATCTGGCACCATCATCCCCTATTTATGCTAGCTTGTTCCTAGGCATTGTCTTTAGCTTGAGTACCAAGCCTAGTAACTGCTCTTCGTTGGATGGTTGCAGCACTTTGCCTCCTGCACAAGATGCTTTGTCCAGATACACATCCCATCTAAAGAGGATGCTGCCACCCCAGCAGCCCCAACACCGAACAGTCCACTCCACCCGTAGTACGTTTAAGAGCTGTACTGCCCACATGCACCAACTGGCCAATGAACTTCCAGTCCGCTCCCGAAACAACATGTGTCGAGCCTACCCTCACACAGTTGTCCCCGTGTGGAACCAGCTGCCCGCCGGAGTCTTCTCTGGTTTATTCTGCACCAAGAACTTGCAACATTTCAAGGTTGCAGCCAAACGCTATTTGAAGATCAACGACAGGTCGTGGGCACATGACCATCTCTGAGTATGAGCATCATAACTGCCTCACCCCATGGCTCTTCAAATTCCGCTCCACATAATCCTCCTAATAACGTCTGTTCTTCTTTTCTCTCCTTCTCCTCCTTGCACTGTCTTTCATATTTCCCCCTCCTTCTAATGTACTGTCTTTCCTCCTAACATTTCATATCATGTACCTGTCATTGCTTTCATTTTTCTTCTTCCTTTTTTGGTGTGTTTTATGTCCCCAGGACGCCGAGACCTGAGGTCGGCTGAGGGCAAAACGCCTCACCATTACTATGCTCCCATATGCAATTTTTCGTCTTTGCCTGTGAGCTGTATCATGGTAAAAAAACGTCTGTTACACTGGTAGCAAGAGGTTGGCTGGTTCCTTCGTGCCTTCTTGGACCTTTTTCTTCTTTTCGCAGCCTCTGCCTTAGCTTTTCTTCTGTACGGGTTAACCTGCGAGTGATGATCTGCTCTATGTTTCTGTAACGTAGAGCAGACCATCACTATTAACGTTACTGAGGATGGACCGCCAAATGAAGATGACACTATTATTACAATAATTATTGCCTTCACTTTTCCTCTTCCCTTACTTTATGCAGGAACAAGGAAGATATCTTTGCGCTTATTGGATATTTGGAGCAGGTGAGCAACTCCTTGTATGAATCAATGCTACACCAAAATGTTCCTTCATCACAACTACTATCAGTTCGAAATGAACTGTTTTAACTTTGCACTTGAAAATACCGCCATTCCGGCAACAGGCTCTCAGCTGCACCAAATAGAACTTTGCCAATGTTTTGCCCAATGATATGCAGGGCATGCCCTGATGATGCCCAATGGGCAAAATATTGGCAAAGTTCTATTTGGTGCAGCTGAGAGCCTGTTCCCGGAATGGCGGTATTCTCAAGTGCAAGAAATACGCTGCAATGGAGTTTGGGAATTCTGAAGAAATGCTTTAACTTTGACTGCTCCTAATCATCATCCAAATCTTCGTCATCCCGATTGCATGCTTATGCAGTTCAAAGTTGGTTCCAAGTTAGTTCTCAGTAAAAACAACCCAAACATACCATGCATCAGGTTAAAAATGTAACAGTTCCAAATTTGGCGTTTCAGAGAAAGGAGTTTTTTAGGGCCTGTCCACACTAGGTAATAAAAACGGCGTGCCGTTTCAGAGTACGTGACGTACACGCGGTGCGCTGTCCACACTTCGCTCTGTCACCTGTACCACTACGTGTACCTGTTCATTTTTGTCCGTGGATGCACTACTGCGTAGTACTGGCAGACACACAAGTGACTTGTAGTTGTTGCGTGTTGTAGACCAGGCAAGCACTCCCTGGCTTGGTCTAGACCTACCCAGCTAGCTACAAAAACGAGTGGCGGCCCAGCGATGGCAGTGCTGACGCCGAGCGCAAGGAACATCACCCTGATGAAGCTGAACTCTGTTCCAGGTACGGAAATTTGGCCACACTCTCGCGGCAGCGCAGCGTCACGGTCGAGGCCCGCTATAGCATCGCTTGATGAACTAATGGTTGTGGCCGCCGTGTATTTCCAGTAAAAGTCGCTGGCTTTGGGATTCAGGTCGTCAATTTCGTTCATCACAACTGAACAGGGTTCTACTTCCTATCCTAACAGTTTCAAATACTCGCTCGTCAGTGAATTATCTCTCTCTCTCTCTACAACACCTTCCTCTTCACCAGACCCCGAGATTTCTCTGCATGTCCAGCCACGACTGTATCAATATCGCCTCAGAGTCGTAGCAGAAACGGACGTGTGGCATTATGAAAACGGCAAAGCAAAAACAAGCTGCAGCAGCTGGAAACAGCAAGAAAAAATGCGATCCGAAACCTCCACCGATCGACTCTCACACAACAAACACTGCGAAAACGGCACGTAGATGAGAAACGTGCTTTGTACAGGGGTCCTCGACTCACGTTCCGCGTGAATCCCACGTTCCCCGTTATCGGCCATTTTTCGTCACTCACCTTGGCAACAAGCATGTTTACGGCGTGTTAACGTGGTTTTCTACCTAGTCTGGACAGGCCCTTAATTTTAGTTTTTGACGTTTGCAGCAAAAAGATCATGATTTGAGTGCTTGAATGGTGGAAACCCAATCTGTAAATAGCTGCAATGGAGTTTGTGAGTACTTATAAACGTACACTAGATTTGGGATAATACCTAAATGTATAGAAGCTACTTGACATGCAAATCACCGCGAATGGTGTGGTTTGGCTCTTAGAAAGAGTTAAGAGTGACTGAAATTCGACAATTTGCTGTCTCCGAATAGTGTTATTTAATAACTTGTAACTCGAGTTGAAAAGAGCACATGTAGCACTTCTATCCTCACCAGACGATTGTTCATCTGATGTGCTACCTCTTAGATAATGCATTGGGATATTGGACTGATGAAGGATGCAGCACATCGACAACATCAAGGAATAGAACACTATGCGAATGTGATCATCTCACTAATTTCGCGATGCTGTTTGTAAGTCTCTACTGACAAGAAGTGTTCTGTTTTCTGATGATCACTTAGTGCGTGAAATTCGGAGTAAAGCACTTTTTTCATCCTATTATTATTGTTTGAACTACTAGCTCTGCCTTTCGGTATTGAGCACTGTCTTGGACAGCCTGGAGCCTCTCTGTTTTGTAAGTCTGTACTATGCGAGTTACTTCGAAGTACAGTCAACTTCGCTTATAACGACACTCGGCGGGGCATCAAACAGGTGTCCTTATTCGCGAAGTGTCGTTATACCCGAAGTCTCATTTCATTATAATTATTATTATGCATTGCAGTGGGATGGGACTTTGCTCTGGGCATGGAAATTCTGTCGTTATTCGCGAATTGTCGTTATATCCGCAGTCGTTTTTAGCGAAGTTGACTGTAGTTGAAAGGGGAATTTGATATTCTTCTTGGATGTTGAGCCAATGTAATCATGGATCAGGGGCCCGTGTATCTGGTCCCCCTTTCAGGGGGCGCACGGCCGCTTATGTGTAGGATGGCTGGTGTGTAGGATGGCTGGTGTGTAGGATGGCTGGTGCTTGTCATTTATAGTCGCTAGGTGCATGCTGAACCTTGGTGGAAGTTTGTATGGGGCCGGGGGTGCACGTGACCCCGTGCTCCATGCGGGCTACACACCTGTGGATAAATGGTGGAAGGACCAAATGTTACGAGTTATGGCCAACTGTACACCAAGGTAACTTGATCATATACAGTCAGCAAGTGCGACAAAAAGGCACAAAACTGACAGGGACTTTCCTAGTCTGAGCCTTTACAAGCTGGAAGGTGGTTGATTTGCGCCACATAGATGTGCTGGAGCTAGGTGTCATGTCGTTGAATGTCTCTGTACCTAGTGTCAGTTTTGTGCCTTTTTCTCGCACTAGCTGACTACGTATAATCTAGGTACTATGGGGGACAGGTGATCAAACTCGTAACATTTGGTGGACAGGTGATCAAACTCATAACATTTGGTGGACAGGTGATCAAACTCATAACGTTTGGTGGACAGGTGATCAAACTCATAACATTTGGTGGACAGGTGATCAAACTCATAACATTTGGTGGACAGGTGATCAAACTCTTAACATTTGGTGGACAGGTGATCAAACTCATAACATTTGGTGGACAGTTGATCAAATTCGTAACATTTGGTCCATCTTTTATCTACCGTTGATTGTCTTCATTCTGAAGTGGATGAGATAGAGAAGTGAACCAAAGCATATTGCCTCTGAGATAGAGAAATAGAAAGTGCTGAAGGTACTAGATGACCTAAGTGCTATTGCCACAGCCACCATCGCATGCTGCGTCTCGGCAGCTGATGACTGGTATGATGCTGTGTTTTAGATAGAACAGCAGCAGAGAGTATTCCAAAGCAGTCACAAGGACAGGAGATGTGCTGGAGCAGTTGAGGGGGAATTTTAAGAAGGGTTGCGCCAAGTTTTTATTCCAAAACCCGTTGTCCGTTGAACGCACCTAAAAGCAGAAGTGTTAGGTACCTCCTCCCGTACCTTTTCTAGCTGGCCTGCATGCACTTGCATACGCACCTTTTGTCTCCTTTTGCTCCGTTGGCCTGGGTAGCTACTTGCGCGCCCGTATTTGCCATAGCTACCCAGGCCCTTTATCTTGCCGTTTAGACTTGATCTCTTTCTCTCTTTTCTCACTCTTCAATGTAGTCGTTTCGTTCGTCTTGGTCTCTTGTCTCGTCGTCTACTAGTATAATAAATGTCGTTCCCACTAACCTGTTCCCGTTGTAATGTCTGGATACGTTGTCAGTCGTCCTGTTTCGAACTCAACATTGGCGCCCGATTATTGATCGACCCACGACCCTGAGATCATCCCATGCCCAGCCGTCCTCAACCGCCATTCGTTTCGTCTATGTCAACCTCGTCTCGTCCATGTCAGTCTCGTCTCTCCTACGCCAACCTCGTCTCGTCTCTATCAACCTCGTCCCTCCTACGCCAACATCGTCTCGTCTATATCAACCTCGTGTCGTTCAAGCCATGCAGGTCAGCTACCTTTCTCTCTTTCTTTTTTTTTTGTATGCGTTCCTTCTTCGTCAAATTTATTTTCGTGAATTTTGTTTGTAGTGTGTGTGCGCGCGGGTGTCCTTCATTAATATTAGGGGTCCGATCATGGTGAGCCACGCTCTCTTATTTATGTCGTATATTAAAGTGTAACTAGGCTCTATTAGCCGTGCAAAATACTAGTCATCAGAATAAAATTCAAGTCCCTCGTCGAACTCCAATAGTTATTTTTTGGGCCATGTTTTGAAGGGGCGTTTGGGCCCGTTGTTATTGGCAATGTACACACTATCGTATGAGTAGTACAGGAATGTTGACGGTTGTAATGATCTGTAGTGCATTTTTTAGTCCACACTTTTGTGAGGCCCGTGCGTTGTGTGTGTGTGTGTGTGTGTGTGTGTGTGTGTTTTCTCCATCAGTCATTTTTTTTTAATTTTTCTCTCTTTTTTTTCTCTCCGCGAGGACGCGGGATGTTTTTTCATGGAGGGGTGGTATGTTAGGTACCTCCTCCCGTACCTTTTCTAGCTGGCCTGCATGCACTTGCGTACGCACCTTTTGTCTCCTTTTGCTCCGTTGGCCTGGGTAGCTACTTGCGCGCCCATATTTGCCATAGCTACCCAGGCCCTTTGCCGTTTAGACTTGATCTCTTTCTCTCTTTTCTCACTCTTCAATGTAGTCGTTTCGTTCGTCTTGGTCTCTTGTCTCGTCGTCTACTAGTATAATAAATGTCGTTCCCACTAACCTGTTCCCGTTGTAATGTCTGGATACGTTGTCAGTCGTCCTGTTTCGAACTCAACAGAAGGATAAAAAAATGGTCCAAACTACAAAAGAAACAACTAATTTTACACCATCCAAAATTGGTTGCTCCCACACTGGAGCTCGCGCTTTTTCCTTCCGACCCGACTTGAAACTTGACTTGAAACCTGTCGCGTACGCGATCTCCACATTTAATATTTGAAACCTAAAACATTTACACACGTTACTTAATTTCTCGCAGCACGTGAGCTCTCATGTTTTGATAACCAAGGCGCATGCTTGCGCTTCTGGGCCTTTTTTTCTTGCCTCGGTTTGGAAAAGAGAGAGAGAATCCCGAAGAGTTTGGAGTAATTGGAGTGTATGTGCCCTATGATTGGAGTGGCGGAAAGAGATCTAGAGTGTTAGATTTAGAGGCTGGTGAGAGAAGGTGCATGACCCGTATTTAGAGTAGTAGTCCATTGAGTGATCGTTTTATAAGTAAGGTACAATTCAGTCTTATTAGTCTCCCCGACAAAACTTGACTTGAAACTTGACTGACTCACGACTGCCATCCAGGGCAAACGAAAAGTCCATCGAACCGTCCACTCGGCAAACCTGCCAAAAAAGCATCACTCCCCGCTCAATACACCGTATTTCGGGGAAGTCACCCTCATCATTTGAGCTTGAGTAGGCTGAGGAAGATTGTGCCTGAAGAGCACGAGGGGAACAATATTACATGGGTTCATCGCGAAGGGGTTATTTTTTTTAACTTTTGGCACCATAACCCATATCTAATGGATGCATTGAGAGAGTAGGTCACTCGCTCTTTACACTTAGATTATTTTAACTCTCAACTGTTTCAGTTCACACTGGTTTCACTGTCTCAGTTCACACTGGTTTCACACCATTGTGACCATGATAATCATTAGAGAGGTTTCGACCCGCGTGATTGGTGCTCTTACGTGAACGTCAATTGTTTGCGTTGACGCGAGCTCAGAAAGAGCTTTCTTTTCACTCACAAAGCGACTGTTCAGTACATGGGGTAGTGGTCTACCAGAGCAATCACACTCGGTCTACCAGAGCAATCACACTCACCACCGTGGTGGTTTTCCAGAAATGAGTAGAAGCAAAAAAAAAACCCACACTCGCAGCCACAGAATAGATAAATAGCCGAAAAACATCTAAATCCATCAAAGAACCTCCAGCAAGCGGGAGAAAAGGCCGTGAAATCAACTGAAACAGCATGGCCAGTGGTGAGCATGGGTGACTGGGCAGCAGGGGAGCGCCTGAAAAACAATGACTCCCTACATTCCTAGCCGCGACCGCTCAACCGGGCTAGAGGAAAAACACGCCTTTCGGCCAAAAAACCTTTCTATTTTCATTAATTCCTGCCCCGCTGCCAGTCAGACCCAAGAATAGAGATAGCAAGGAATGGTATGTAATAACCGGTGTATGTCATAATCATAAGCCACACACATAGGCATAGATTGTCAAGAAGAACAGCGAACGACTCCCATGAAACCAGGGTGGGTGGGCGGGCAACTTCAACTACCACGAGGAAAAACAAAGACCACGATGGCAGGTTCAACGGAGTTGCGCAGAACAAGAGCAAATGCACGAAAATATTTGTGAGTGAAAAATACGTTTTTTGCACTCTTTCGCTACGCTCAGCCGTGAAAAAACAAAACGTTTCGCGTTGCTTGTGAAGCACGTCGTTGCGCTGACGACAGGAGCGAAAACTTCAAAAAGTGAAAAAAGTGATTTTTGGTGAGCTTAGAATTTGAAAGTAGGTTGAAGTAAGTTTTGTTGCAGTAGGGGTTCGGAGAAGTGTTGTGAGGCCGCGACGATGATGGATCAACACCAACAAGCTGTTTTTGTTGCTGCCGTGGGACTAGGTGGCCGAGCTCTGGCCCAATCTGCTTCAAGACATCATGGCATGTTTTGAAGAGGATTGGGCCAGAGCTACTTGAACCACTTGAACTTGAAGCAGCTCCAGGGGACTCCTGATTTGAGGCAGAAGTTGCTGGACTCACACTGGCAGACATCGCGATGGAATGAGCTACGCTGAAATTAAGACGTGCAATTCACAATTCGCCAACTTCTAGTAACTAATTGTACTTCCTCCTGTATCAGAAAGCAGAGAGGCCAAGCCAAGTGACTTTCCTTTTCTTTCGATCTCCGGCATGTTCCATCGTGACGCTTGCAGTCGGGATTCCCGCCAAAAGGCCAAAGTCGCACAAAATATTATTTATAGCTAGTTTAGGCAAAATCGACAAAATCGAGTCAATAATCCCAACCTGATAGCAAGGCTAAACTTGCAAAAACTAGCGTTCACGTCGAACGTGAGTTGACTTCAGCTCACGTCATGGACGGGAGTTTCGACGCCAAATTTGCCACACCGACGTGAAATTTCATGGTGTAGTGCAGAACAACGTGAAACGAAACCTCTCTACTGAGGGGTATTCTGAGGGGTATCATCATGGTGCAAGAGTCAGGAGCAGGCATGAAGTTGCCAAGTCTTCAGACTTGGGGCTATGCAGCAGCAGTTCCGGCGTGAATGATATAGAATAGAATTGGGGACTTAAGGGATGGAGTTAGTCATTTATTCGCAGAATTGGTATTTGCCATCGCCCTCCCCAAATTTGTTTCATAGCTTGGTTAGCAGATTTTAATTATTTTCTCTGTTGTCTTGAAAGGTACCTGACTATGAGGACAATGGCCTAAAATGGGTGTCCATAATTGGATGTGGGACTTCAATGCTGGCTATTGTTTCCACAATTCTTCTCATCCTCATAATTCCGTGAGTACATCGGGAGGATACTGGCTTTGTGTAAGCATCTCAAAGATGTTCATTTAGTGTGTTTGTTTAATTTCCAATGAAGAAAGAAAATGTTTAGTAACTCATATTTTAGTCTTGCCTATAGACACCTGGTCATCACAGAGGAGCATTGGGAGAAGGTACAGAGTTCAGACATCTGGCCGGGTGATATTTCGGTCTGAGAATGGCGCTTTAAAGCAGACCACATAACTCAGTAGAGGTGGGTTCATCTCTGAATCCACTCGCATGTCCATTTGTACAACCTGTTTTACCCTAGTTCCACACAATGCACCTATTTCGCGCTTACACGCAAATGCTGATCCATTCGAATCCTCTGGACTACCCAACACTAAAGATTGTCCAATCATGGAGTCACTTAAGGCTCTTTCATGACCATTCTTTCCCGATTCTGAACAACACACTACACTCGGACGCCTCTTATCCGGGCACCTTGGGACCGGGCACTGCCCGTATCTCAGATTTGCCCGTATTTCAGGATAACTCATCTACTATGTATCATATCATTCGTTGAAGAAGTTTATTTGGCAACCATTGCACATGTTAAGGATACCAACATGATCGATCGATAACGACGTGTGGATTACACAGGTTGATGGTGACAAAATAAGCACTTGTGCATACGAAAAAAAGTTCAAACCCCCAAATTCGAAGCATTTTACCATAGGAACCCAAGCTGAAGGTGCCCGGTAGAGAGACGTGCCCGTATCTGAGGCGTCCGGATAAGAGACGTTTGAGTGTACTTCCAATCGCCACCACTTCCTCCTCTCTCTCTCTCTGCTATCCATTGCTATTCATAAACAGCCGCTCAATAACTAAAAAAGGTGCATAAACTTAGCATCATAGCCCAAACCTTGCTACCAGACATCATATGCATCTGTAAGACTTCAAGTGCCTCTCCGCATTATCTCCATTCTCCATCAATGAATTATTATAAGCATGATATTGATGAGTGTTAACGTGCAACAGTTAGCACAATAATGACTGCTGTGGTACTGACATTCAACGACTTGACATTGAGCTCCATCACATCTTGAATTCGCACGCAAACAGCATTCCAACTTGGAAAGTTTTGGAAAGTTCTAAGTCGTTGGTTCTAGTCATTGGTTCTAGGTCCTTGAATGTCAGTACCACAGCAGTCATTATTGTGTGATTGCGCCCGGGGAATTCATTATACGAGCTCGTGTGGTCATGTTATAACCCCTATTTATCGTTATCGCCGTGGTTGCCTATCGCCCACTCTCTTCACGTCATTGGCTGCTGTTTCCACTGAGTTTTGAGATGTAGCAATAAATCCTGTGTGAGTGTTCAAAGTTTGCTGGATGAGATTACTTTGAGCATCAGAATTGGCTGGCCTCTTTCGTCCACTGGTCGCTCTCTCGTGTACATGGGATACCATGTGAAGACAAGTACTAACTTTACAAGCACCATCTTGATTTGGTGATTGAGCGTACCCAAAACCAGTGCATCAGTACAAGATCACGGATAATGTGTTTGAAGCTTACACAGGCAGTCTCAAGTGCATGTTCTGGAAAGAGACTGCAACTTCAGCCAATCACTGGAACTTGGCATCCGAGTTTTTCAAAGTTTTACACTTTGTTTCTGGGCTCGTTTCTAGGCTGACATTTGATTTCACCTTTCACGTTACTTTAATAGCGTCCCTATTGCTAATTTCTGTGACAGGGCAATTATTTGGTGGTGTATATTTCTTGATGCGACTTTCAATATGAATGATAAATTCAATGTTATCACCCACACGCACATCAAGCAAGTGGAAGTTGGGGTTGCCGAGCTGCTGCGCCTGGATGATATCAAGTGTTTTGTAACAGAATTTGTAATCAGCGAATTGTTTGCAACAATGCATTTATACCCGGGCGGCCCCGCAAAGCGGGATTGTAGAAAATTCTGTTACAATGCTGGTAAATGGTAGGCAGTGCAAGAGATTAAGGCCAATGATCCTAACTAATGCTGCTGTGCCCTTGTGGGGCACGGCTGTGCGCAGGTAGTCAAATGACTGCTGGGACCGGACGGTCCTGCTGTATGCTGGGGCCAATTGGCCCAGCTGCTGGACACAATGTGTCTATGCTGGGACCATGTGGTCCTAACTAATGCTGCTGTGCCCATGTGGGGCACAGCTGTGCGCAGGTAGTCAAATGACTGCTGGGACCGGACAGTCCTGCTGTATGCTGGGGCCAATTGGCCCGGCTGCTGGACACAGTGTGTCTATGCTGGCACCAGCTGATCCTGCTGGGACCATGTGGTCCTAACTAATGCTGCTGGGACCATGTGGTCCTGCTACTGGGCAGCGCGTGCCGCCAGTGCTTGAAAGCTCATGCAGAGAATTGTTCCAAAATGCATTCAGCTGAGGGGCTTTGCTTGCTTCCCCAAGAAGAGTCAGTGGTTAGTAGCAACCCCGCTTATACACACTGCTCTTAGCCACTGCTCTTAGCCATATTTCCTTTCTTGCTTTCTTTCCGCGGTTGAGTAAACGCTGTGCTACATGCATGCAGATAGGCTTAGCAGTGACAGTGCGCAACACAATGCGTTTAAGAGTTTGAGTATGTGATCCAGGCTGGAGCAGAGATCCTTAATCGGGCAAGCTGCTGAGAGGTCATATTCCCACATAAGGGGGTGCAGAGTGCTTAGAGTATTTTGGGCAGGATTGATACAAAACCAGTGACCAGCAGCACGCGCATGCACACATGGCAGCGTAGCCGGCTCATTGCCCCCCAATAGGCAGGCCAGCCGACACGGAGGTACGTTTTGTACATGTCACTAGCCCAGCGGCCGGCCTTCTGGAGCTGCCAAGCTGAGGCATTCCTTCCGGCCATTGCAGTAGCCCCGCCGATCCTGAGGGAGTGACTGCTAACACCCGGACCTAGGGCTCTCGTCATCCAGTAGTTCACATCTTTGGCTGTGAAATATTGCTCACTTCGGATTATGAACAGCGGTGACGTCGTTGGCGTTGCGTGGCGGATAGCGTGGTACTTGCGCATTGCTTGGACAGGGCAGAGGTGGCTGCCGGACCATGGCTGCAAGATGACTTGAGCCAATGTGCCACGTTGGGAGGTCTTCGTTATCCCGAGTCGTATGCTGATCTGAGTCCCAGTGAGTGAGACTTGACCCAGGGTCAGAGTGCGGCCATTCGAAGCGGAGCGGGGAGAGGCGGCAGTATCCTCGCTCACTCTGAGCAATCCCGCAAAGGCTGTCATGAAGGCGGCCCAGAGCATGCACCTGTCCGATTCGCAGTAGTGGGAGCGCTGGATCACGGTCAAGAGCTGCTGCAGGTCTGATTGGGTGGTAGCCTGGCGTTGACATTGTGTCGGTGCTGCTTGCTGGCGGTGCTGCCATTGCTGACGCTCCGCTCCCTTCAGGGATGCTGTAACTCTATCGTGCTGAGTTGTGTGTGACGGCCCACCATGGCAGAGGAGGTAATACCTCACGGCGGATACATATACTCGGATGGTTGCGCTAGATCTGTGACCGGATACGCAGTGGGTGATGAATGCCAGCAAGTCATTTACCGACGGCCTACTCGGCTGGCATCCCAGTTGTGTACACAGCTTCAGATACGCCCCAGTCCCTGGCAGGTATGTGCGGGCAGAACTTGGGGCTACTGAGTCCCTAATTAAGTCGCCGGCCTTTATCAGTAGCGTCTGACGGAGATGATGTGCTCTATTGAAGTAGTCTGTTTGTTGGCGTTGGGCAGCCTGATGCGCCCATTGTTCTCCCCATAAAGAGAGCGCAATGGCAATTGGGTAGAGTTCCCGCCAGATAATGCTGCGAAATAGGCCATCCGACTGGTCTGCTGACCATGTGCCATAGAACCGTGCTGTGTTGTAAAGCCCTCCGAAACCGACGCCAGGCGTGTCAGTGAAGAGCTGAAGGCTGGGGGACTTGGACCAACTGATGTCTCTGAATAGGGCAATGCCATTCCATGGGAGCGCCGATTCGAGCAACTAGTATGATAGCTCTGCTCGGGACCGCTAGAGCTGAGCTGGCAAATGACTCCGCATGAAGCAAATGACTCTGAGTAGAGCCACCTAATGCTAAATATAAAGGTATGCATGACAGTTGAGAGCATATATTCTCATGGATTGTAAGAATACATTCTCGCGCCACATATATACTGGTACACACAGATTATAGACAGCAATAGCGACAACACACAAATTGAAGGGTAGTTGGCCGCAGCCAGATGTGAACCGAAGCACGAGTGAGGCATGAAAGCAAGCACTGAGAACAGAGTGTGTCTCAAATGGGAAAGATGTGCATGCGGATAACAGAAATAGGCCATGATGCAGAACCACTTGGGACCGTCAGATTAATTTTCCTGGACCGAGCCAGCCGGGAAAAAACCCTCGCGCCGACGGACGCAGTAGTGAGGGAAAAAACCGGGTGTATAACCCCAATGGCGATTTGGCATCATGTAGGCATGGCAAGCATATATTGGTAAGAGATAAAGAACACGCCCGATGCCATAATTATGCAACCGAAACATGTTGAGCGAGAAATACAACGTCATGTGTGCGCCAGAAACGTGAGTTGAGGTAGCGGGTGGGAGGGTGGGAAGGAAAGTGTGTGGGAACAAATGTTCCGCAAGTTGCATGCTCGAGAGTCAAAACAGCAATGACAGTGCAGAAGACCCGACTAGCGCATGCGCACGGGTCGGACCAGCTTCCGGGGCTGAAAGATGCATGATCAAGCGATGCCCACCCGATTTATTTGGCATGACACCAAGACATGCCCTCTTGCCCCAGGTGAGCATCCACAACATCAGGGTAGTCAAAAGCTGATCTAAGATTCTTGCTGAGGGTAGAATGCACAACACCCTTAGGACGTGATGCTGGTCTACCAACAGTTTGTTCAGGTAGTGTGTGCGTTGCATGCCTACAATGATGGACAACACTGCCCACGCTTCGGCCCAGGCCACTGTCTATACTCGACTCTCGCTTTTTCTGCTATGCTGGGGCCAGCACTACTGACCCATCCGAGTCGTTCTCGAGCCTGAAACGTTTGGCTGAGGGTTCAGCGGGCACTGCTGAGGGGCGCAGGAGCCTGAGGAGGAGTGCTAAATCTACGAACTCCCCTCGCAGCACTTTCTCCACCACTCTCGGCCACATGTGCAACACACAGGGGACGGGTGTGGGCATGTGGTGGAGATGCATGTACAGGCACGTCAGAGTCAAGCCTACCTAGTACCTGCCAGGTCTTGTGCGCAGTCAGGCGATATCAGCATCCGGCTCGCCAGAGTCGTCCCCGGAAATGGCTTCTCGGATGGAGGAGCGGTTTAGCTCGCGGATCTCCTGGTGCTGCTGTTTGAAAACGACTCATGATAGGCTAGCTAGAAAATTCGCACAACTGACTTGAACACTGCTGATATTGCAAGCCAAGGTGCTCAAACAAAAAAAATTTTTTCAGTGGTAATTTTTTTCTTTTTTTTCTTGTACACATATTATTAAAAAGAGTTGGCACCTATGAATTCAGGGGATGGCCCACGCCTGGTAAAAAGAAAAAGAAAGAAAAAAGAATGTCTGGCCCCTATGAATTCAGGGGATGGCCCACGCCTGGTAAAAAGAAAAAGAAAAAAAAGAAATCATATTAGGCCAAACTAAAGAAGGTGTGTGGTTCGACTAACATGGACATTTTTTTACGGGCGGGCGGGCGGATTTTTTTTTTTAATATATTTTTTAGTACATGTAAATACACTGTACTGCCTTTAGACACCCAGTACATCGGCATTATTACGCAGTGTTATGCCATACATGTTGTATAAAGGGATCACTGGCTAATACTTTGAAACATTGTGTAGCTCTGGAACGAGAAGAGAATAACTTCAAGCGGTGACTCTGACTGTCCAAATCATCAAGCAAATGAAGAACGATGCCAGTTGAAAGTAAGTTCGGGAACTACTTCGAAGTACAAATTGTACAATGTACCGGTACATGTATTGCTAGTTTGGTGTCGGCGTGCACGAATACATGGGCTTTTTCCATCGACGCTTCCTGCGCTTGCACACATGGAGCAGCAACTAACTTGCCGGTACAGGTGAAATATCGTTCCCAATACACGAGGAAAGTGCAATCTCGTCTGTCCTTCATCCCAAAACAGAAGGCCGTCCTTAATCTGGAACGAGGCAATCACTCTCAACCGGACGGTCACTTCAAAATAAGTCTCGCCAGTCTGCCGGTGGTCGTATCGAGTAGACTCTACTACCAGCACAAGGCAGCAGTCGTACCACTCACTGCACTGCACTGCAGTACAACTACAAGTCAAGTCCAAAAGGAGCCGCCTGCGTCCGCAGACTCACGCTGCACAGCACGTAGACGTGGACGTGTTCAGTCCACGTACGTCAGTCACACGACAGCCCGCCGAAAAAAAGTTACGGTCGGGGTGAAAAATGTACGGTCGGTCGGGTGAGTCGAACCACACACCTTCTTTAGTTTGGCCTTAACAAAGAAAACTAAAGAAAAAGAATGTTTGGCACCTATGAATTCAGGGGATGGCCCACGCCTGGTAAAAAGAAAAAGAAAAAAAGAAATCATAACAAAGAAAACTAACTAATAGCGAAAACAATACAGCCATATAACAAGAGGTGAGGGTTAACCCAGACGACACTCAGCATTCACTAGAGCTGAGGGGCACTCCAGCTGCTGATCCAAAGGTGCTCGCCTGGATCGATGACCTCTCAAGCTTGCAATCGCCGATCTGATGAGGGCAAACCCTAGGCGGCAACGAAGGTGAGCCATCACCATGGAGAACGGTTCCTTCCGCTTCTCGGCCAGCATTGATGCAATGCGCTTGAGGAAAGCAGAGGCAGCCTTGCCTTGACCACCGGAGGCACAAAACACCAAGGGGACGAACGATGCCTTCTCTACTTCCCTAACACGCTCTTCATAGTGTCGCCGTTTCTCCTTCTCGTGCTTAGTGAACGTGCTGTTGAGGGAGGGAGCGGTGTTCGATCGGACAAAAGGGTTAAATACCCGGACATCAAAGAATGTCCTCTCGAAACGGCCGCCCCACACCCCGCTGGCAGCAACATCTAGGCGGGCGCCATCCTCGCTGATTGCAGTACGATACCTCATCCGTTCCCCGGAAAGTGGCTGGAGAGACGGCTCCACACTTACGTCATGTGCGACGCGTGAAAGCAGTGAGGCGGTGATGTCTCGCAGCTCGTTATGCCGGAGTGACGGATACCCTCCAATAGGGCACGACAGGGCATGCGCGGTGCTGAATGCCTGACCACAGACGCAGGCGGACGGCAGCATTGGAGGGACCCAGCCATAGCGAACATGGATGGCGTCGCAAAAGCCAGCCTTGCTGAGGGAAAAGCCGTGGACTTTCAGTGGCCGGCACGTGAGCCAATTGGAGGCCCCCTTCAGCGAAGCAAGCTCCACACAACGCTGCAATTCCTGTGAAGCGGCTGAGTCGACGTCCTTGGCGATGGTTGACTCCTTATTCCGCTGTCGGCTGCGGACTTCGGACTTCCTGTGCAGCGTAAGCTGCGTGACGTCGGGCAGATAGGACATGCCAGAGAGGATTCCCTCAACCAGCGTTTGGGTGATGTGGCAGGATGAATGGAACTGTTCTGCTAACGAAGAGACGATGATTAGTCCCAGGCCACCCAAGCGACATGGTAGAGCCAGGATCTTCCGTTCGGCAGAGCCTGGAGAGGGGCGACCGAGGAGGGCTGGGAGTAGCAGGTGTACAACCGCCTGCTCCAAGGGCTCCAGCAGGGTAGCTGTGTTGGGTACTGTCCTGGCAACAAATGCCCAGCGATGCCGTAGTCCCACGCTTGTGCATGTGCCATTTTCCCACGCGCTTGGGGACGATGTACAATGACAGCCGGCGTTGCGGACTGCCTGCGAGGCGCTGGCCGCGAGTGCTTCTGTGGCATGATAACTTTGGTTTGCCCGTTGCAAACCTACATTTTACATCTCACGGATGCAGACTTTCTGTGAACTTGTCTGTTGGTGAAGGATAACTTATGTGAGGCATATTTCGATTGCATGTTTTTCTGTATTTTGTGAACTAGTTTACCGTGGACAGTGTGTAGATTTAAAAACCTGTCGGACGCATCACTCAGCTTCATAAGTAGTGTGTAGATGTCCACTAATTTCTTAGTGTTTAACCTTTCTGTAATAAAAATACAGGAATAATGTGAGGTCATGAAGTATGACGGCCAGTCAATGTAAGACCAGGATGATTTGTGTGTTTGGTTTTGTTTATTCCAGGAAACTGCGGCAGTCAATTCATCATCGGATCCTGCTTGGCTATGCCATTACACTGCTCATTTTCATCATACTATTCACTATCGCTCTCTATGATTCCAAGCTGAACAAGAGCAGTGGCGCTTGTAAAGCTGTTGCAGCCATTCTACAATATCTGATTCTGTGCGTCTTCATGTGGCTTTCGTTCGATGCCACTATACTCCATCAGAAGCTGGTTGTCGTGCTTGGGACAGACCCTGAAGCTTTGACGAAATGGCTTCTCATTTCAGTGTTCGGTAAGTACACTGTTTGTGAATTCGTAATGTTTGATGAACAAGTATCAGACAAAAGCTATTACTAGAATGAAGGTCGCAGACATCCTCACACAACATCCAACTTGATAGAAAATTACTGTAAACCGCCCAATATTACTAGCTCGTTGATGTAAAAAGTTGACGAGGAGACATTTAAACAAATGGCGAGGAGACAATAATTTGATGACCGCAATCAATAAGACAAGCTGAATTGACATTTATGTCTACTTTATCCATGCAGTGTAAAATGGTGGAGACAATGTGCAATAAAATGATGGAATTTTGAAGAAGGGCTGAGGCTTCCTGCAGCTTCATCTGTGAAAAGAATTCGGGTGGACACACCCATTCCCATAGCGCTGCACATCACATCCGAACCAGTTCCGTTATTTTTACAACGTTTCGGCACTTGGCCATCGTCAGGTAATAACAATGAATACCGTGGAAGCCACACAAGAGCAGTATATACGCAGAGTGTAGCGCCAAAAAAGATGCGAATTATGTCACCTAGTATGCAGAAGGGGGGGGGGGGCAGAGAGAGAGAAAAGGCGCAACTAGCACATCACGGAGGAGAAGCAGCAGAAGGTAGCGCGCATTGTGCTCTGTGAATGGCGTTACACAGAGTGTAGCGCCAAAAAATAAAATGATGCGAGTTATGTCACCTCTATACAGAGGGGGGCGGGGGAGAGAGAAGGTGCAACTGTGCACATCACGGAGAAGAAGAGCGCGCCGTTGTGCTCTACGAAGTGAGGGTACATGCCAAATAATTATGGTGTTAATTCTAGCACAGGAGGGGAGCACGGAGCCCCATGAGTCAATGCACTATGAGGTTAAACTTCCATGCCAAACTGTTACCACCAGGGACGCGACGAGGCATCAGGAACAGAATGGATTTGAGTGACCCGCCTCATATTATAATTATTCAGTGATATTGAAGTAGCAGCAGGGGAAGCTGAGAAAATTCACAACAAATCCCATCCGGTGCTTATGTTCACATGGGGCTTGGCATCACGAATCTCAATCGCCTCGCGCAGTTTGCGACGGGCTCGATCAGGCTCTCTTCCTATCACTTCAACTGCAGAGAATGCACTTTGCCCATAGTTAAGCTTACATCCAGGGTGAGTGGTACGAAAATGTTGGCCCCATGGCTTGTCGAGTTCCTGGCGTCTTGCCTCACCATTATGTTCTTCCAGGCGAGTTTCCAGAAAGCGGCCGGTCTCACCAACATATTGTTCCGGACATTCTTTGCACTTCAGCTGATATACACCATTCTTCTGCATACATACATCCTGTCCCCCGGATATACACGAGATACACGGCCCCTTTGGGCGACCTCTCTTTTTCTGAGTCGGTTGTAGCGGATTTGCAGCCTTGACACATAGAGGAGGAACGAGGGCGGAGCGACACAATGTGCGCCTCAGGCTACCAGTGTGCTCTTATACGACTCTAACCGGAATTTTATACTTTCTGATTGCTTTATTCACTGCTTGATGTACTTTATCTGACTTATATGGAAGCTTTAGAAATGTGCAGCATGGGTTGGCATGGCGACGACGCTTTGGCCTTATGGAGGCAGTGCGTGCCTCTTCAATGATTCTCTCCGGGTAATTGTTCAATCTTAATTGTTCATGAACCCTCGCTTCACTTTCTGCACGCATTCTGGTATTCGATGAGAGCCTCTGAGCTCTTAGGAATTGTGACGAAGCAACTGCCAATTTGATATGGTGGGGAACTGCCGAAGTATAATCAATGAGTAGACCACTAGCACATGCCTTCTGGTACAGCTTGCATGCCAGCTTGCCTTCCTGCATCATAATTGTGATATCCATATAATTTATGGAGCCACTCACCTCGCTGAGCTCATATGTGAAGTTGATACTTGGGTGTGCAGAGTTGAAATGCTGCACAAACCGCATCAAGCTCTCTCTGCCGTGGGTCCATAGCAGCAGGATATCGTCGATGTAGCGTTTGTAGAGGAGCGGTACTAACGGAGAATCCTGCAGAAGCCTGGCCTCAACCGTATGCATGAATAGAATCGCAAATGGGGGTGCAAGATTGTTACCCATTGCAACCCCGTCCACTTGGTGATAGATCTGATGGCCGAATCTGAAATAGTTGTGGCTGAGAACAAACAGCAGCAGATTCCGTACCCCGCTCACACTCTAGAGCACAATGCGCGCTACCTTCTGCTGCTTCTCCTCCGTGATGTGCTAGTTGCGCCTTTTCTCTCTCTCTGTCCCCCCTTCTGCATACTAGGTGACATAATTCGCATCTTTTTTGGCGCTACACTCTGCGTATATACTGCTCTTGTGTGGCTTCCACGGTATTCATTGTTATTACCTGACGATGGCCAAGTGCCGAAACGTTGTAAAAATAACGGAACTGGTTCGGATGTGATGTGCAGCGCTATGGGAATGGGTGTGTCCACCCGAATTCTTTTCAAAAATGATGGAAGTAGGAAGAAATAGTTTAGAGAAAAATTTGAAAAAAATAGGTTATATGATAACATAGGAGGGGAAGGTGAGCGCAACCATGATGATGATACTGGCAAGACCATTGGACAATGCGGTCAAACCACGATGCATGGACGCAAAACAACATTCCATACAACTTATGTGGCTGAAAGATGCGAAGATCAATTAAAGGGGAAGCTGTAATTTTGCTTTGCGTCCTTGAATCGTGGTTTGACCCTATTGTCCAATGGTCTTGCCAGTATCATAATCGACATGCATGTACATCCGCCAACATCTTTCAAAGCTGAAACTTTCAGCTCGTGCTTGTCTTGGTTGCGCTCACCTTCCCCTCTATGTTATCATATAACTTAGAACATTCCAAGTTGGAAGACTGTTGGAGAAAAAATAGGATTCAAACAAGTTTTTTTCGCCTGAATCCGATTTTTCTAGATGCATATTTCCACATGGGAGGCATGCTTGAAGAATCACATTGCTATGACAATTCCAAAGGAAATGGTGAGGCTGACAGCACCAGTCCAAATGGGATACTTCAACTAATCTCTTCTAAGATGCTTCTCAAAAAGGTGATCAGAACCATTCGAACGCACCCTTAGCCTCGACTTTGGGAAACGTGGAACCACACGTATTGATGATCCAGATTTTGTATTAAAGGGGAAGTGCATCGATTTTTCGAGTATGGTCCAGAAGAAAGACAATTTGATATCGGTTCGAATGGCATGTCTCTCGCTTCCATACGATAAGCCAAACTTGCCAAATCGCCAATTGTATACTCACGTTGCCATAGCGACTAGCGCAGTGATGACGTACGAAAGGCTTAGCTCCACCACAGAGAAGGTCAATCACTGCAGAATTTGGTCATTTTCATTTGGTTTATTGTATTCACGAAGTGAAAGAAGGGCTGGGTTCAATGCTGTTAGTGCAGTGAACTGTTTGTTAGTAGTCCTCTCGGTTGTGTACTGGGACGTGACACCGACAGGAGAAAGCTGGATTGCGGAGACACCAGCAGACAAGCGAAAATAGTGACGAACAAAATGCTGAAATCTTGGTTGGGACAAATCAGACGTTCAGCATTTCCCCCAACCAAGGACCATGCAGTTTGCTCTTTCCACTTCCTGAAGATGAATGTGATGCTTCCTGGCGACTCTACTATCTCTCGTAACATCTTCTGAAGCCAGGTGAGACGACGGGTGGTGGAGATTGACGAATGAAATAATGTCGTAGGTTTGAAAGTTTGCTGAAAATGTCTCAGGAGAGATGGCGAATTCCAAGCATCTTGTCCTGGAGGAAACCATTTCCTAGGCACAGTCAGCCTAGGGAAATGCATGAGAAGGGCGATAAATAGTTAACGGCACTAACAGCATTGAACACAGCACTTCTTTCACATCGTGAATACAATAATACAATTGAAAATGACCAATTTCTGCAGTGATCGACCTTCTCTGTGGAGAAGCTAAGCCTTTCATACGTCATCACTGCGCTGGTCGCTATGGCAACGTGAGCATACAATTGGCGATTTGGCAAGTTCGGCTTATCGTATGGAAGCGAGAGATATGCAATTCGAACCGATATCAAATTGTCTTTCTTCTGGACCCTACTCGAAAAATCGATGCACTTCCCCTTTAACATAAAACATTCTTTGTGTGCATTTGTTTATCCTCTTACCAGCAACCCCCTTCATCATTGTAGGCATCACGGCTGGTGCAACGCAATTTAAGGCATACTCGGACGAGACGTGAGTTGAAGAGAATGAAATATTTATAAGAAGAAAAGAGGACCAGAGAGCTACAAATATATATTATCCACTAACACCACCAGTTACTTTACAATCAGCTCATGCGATAACATTGCACAACACTGACCAATGCTACTGACGTTCCACACCTAACTTGCAATCAGCTCAAGCACATCTTGAATGCGCACCCCAACAGCCTTCCAACTTGGAAGCTTCTAAGTTATAGAAATAACGTAAGGACGTCAGTAATGTCGGTCAGTGTTGTGCAATTTTATCACATGAGCTGATTGTAAAGTAACTGGTGGTGTTAGTGGATAATATATATATATGGCCGAAACAGCTTGCTGTCTACAGCATTGGGTATCACGCTCCTCGGCTTTCGCCTTGTTGAGCACTCTCAGTAGGCTGCTCTAGTGCTGCTGCATCGCGCAATGCCCGCTACATTTTGTAGTTTGAGCACTCTGGCGCTAGAGCGACGAGCTACCTTAATGTCTGTGGTGCCTCCTTTGCACCATGGCTGGTAGCTCGGCCTATTTAGCTCGTAGCTGTACTGATGAGGCCTTTATGGCCGAAACAGCTTGCTGTCTACAGC